ATGAACATTTAAGACAGTAATACCTTAAAATACCTAACGTCAACATACTGCGTTCCACGGTGGAGACATGGACAGCTCCTTCAGAGACAGAACACTACCGTAGGTCATTCATCCCCTCTGCAGTAAGTGTATAACTCCTCAGTTTAAGCTGTACTGGCATTATCCTGGTACACAATAACATCAGTGTAATATTCTGTATGTGTTTAATACTTGTGCAGTACCAGATGTACATTAATATCTCTGTGTCCCTTCTGCTGCATAGTTCTGGAAATACAAGTTTCCTTTTATTTGTTGTTTTTAGTGGTAGAAAGTAACAAAAATAGCTTATTGTCGTTGTGTGTGTATTTGGAATGATTTGTTCATTTATGACAAAATAGCTGAGCACTATGAAAACCGACATTGCTGCTTAGGGCAGGGCACAGGGTCAGGGAGTGAACAGGAGCAGGTTAGCTGCATCTTAACATATGACATACACTAGCAGGAGTGCGCTCAAAGAGTTACTGATCTACTCTAAAAAATGTCAAATCATTCACATCAAGTAGTTTTGTATTTCATTATATGAAACTATTTAAATGTGTTTTGTTTCGTTTGATTTTAAGAATGTCGCTATTTTCCTTGTACTTTTTTTATATTATTGATGTCCTGAAGTACAGAGAAATCAACTAGTGAAAACAAAGCATGTTCAGATAATAATGAGACCGCAACAATCTCCGTAGAAGTTTGTCGTCGTCGCATCTCTGTGAGCTTCATTTGGTCCCTTTAAAAAAGAAAGATGATGTTTAAAAGATGTTTCTTATCTGATCTTCTCTCAGTAAAGGAAAACATGTTTAAGATCTTACCAGCTGATCACATCTTATTCATTTGGCTCAATGGGAACTTCTGTTTCATGAGTGATGATAAATCTGTAGACAAAACAGATGTTCGTCTTACCTGCTTCACAGTTACGCTTAAATTCCACTTTTAGCAAAGCCTCCAAACCTTCAAAGTCAATGAAGATGATAAGATCGTCATTCTTGAGGTAATTCCGCCTCCTAAGGTCAAAGTGCTTGATAAAGTTCCTCCAGCCCCACGATTCACCTCGGTAACAACTGCAGGACGAGTCGTACTTTCCCACTTTAGAAGGCAAGTCCCATACAAACTCTCCATCTGGTGCTACAGGTGACAACAGACATGTGAGAAGTGAACCAAGCTGATAAAAAGGTTCTGGAAGGAGAATCCAGCAGAACAGCGAGCATCAAAGTAACATGTTGACTATAAACTCGGCTTAAAGGGGACAAACTTCACTTTCACGTCCCCGGTTTGCAGTCACGCGGGTCTCCACTGCCTCAACACTCCAAACATGAGTAAAAATCACCCGTCCATTTCCTGTCTGGTTTTGGTTCAGTCACCATGATGCCCTGCTGTTTTTCCATCATTAGGGTTCAGTGCAGCGACACCAATGTTTCCCAGGATCGATAAAGGGGTTTTCTATTCTCTAAAGTACTTACTGGTCCTCATGTCGGTGGTGAGGCTACGAGCTGAAGACATCCTCAGCAAAATATCTGGATCCTGGTCCATGACCACCAAGGTGGCTTGTCTGTTCACAGCTGGCCACTTCATCACCACGTCGTTCTCTCCGCTGGTGAGGTGGAAGTAGAGCCCTGTGTAGCTCCCAGTGTAATCAGAGAATCCAGACAAAGGCTTGATACGAACACCGTAACCGTAGCCTTCGGGGCTGTAGAAGCGAGGACTGTCGATTACAGTGTTGTTGTCAGCTGTTTCCAAGATCCTGGAGAAGTTGTGAATCGTCCACACGGCATTAGGGCAGCGTGTCTCAGTCAGGCTAATGTCGTCAATGTAGATGCCTCCAGAAGACTTGGACGGGTCACCACGCACGGCTTGGAAGGCATAGCGGTATTTAACTCCTACTTCCATTGGGACATGGCCAATCTTCCATGTGTGCTCTGAATCTGCTGTAATGATATAGTTGGGAAAGATAAAGGAATACTGTGATGGTTTTTACTGTTTACTCTTCAAGGCCCGTTGTGTCAAACGCTAAAAACAGTATAAGACTACTAGCTTCAGTTTATACCAGTCATGAAAGACCAAACTGGCCCAACACGCCCTAGTGGAGTCCTCCTCTTCCACAGCCGGTATCAAGCCTTTCAGCAACATCTTCTAACTGCTGTGGTCTGCTGCATCAAAACTAAAATACTGCATGTTTGAAATTTGGTCCAGCATGGAAAATAAATCTACATTGACTTTCTGTGGCTCTCAAGTACTTTAGACTTGGCAGCTTCAGCTGATGTCTGGTTAGGACATCCCTGCTGTAGACTGTAAACCACCACCAGCGGTACGTGTATCACAGACTGAGACTGATGGTCTAAAGATGTTGTTGATTTTGAAAGCCTATTGTACGCTTTATCTGCCTGAGTCTGACAGCTGGCAGACAGATTGTTTTAGCTTAAGTCAGAATCCTATTGGGCTGGACCGTTGGTGTTCAACTGAAAATGATATCCATCCATCCATCCATCCATCCATCCATCTTCTCCCCCCTACTGGGAGGTAGAGGTAGCAGCCTGAGGAGAGGCCTGGACTTCCCTTTGGGGAAGCTCCTCTGGGGAATCTCTATTTGCTTCTGCTTCCTGTGACATTAGCTTTTGTAACAGAGGTGAAAAGGAGACACTTTGTTACATAAGATAAACAACAAGTGGCTCCGTAACTAACAGGAAGTCTATCTCTATTTACTGTTCAAACCCGTTCATCACCTTTTTTACATCATCAAACTTATGGAGGACATTTAAAACTTGCATTATCTGAATGTTATTCTCAGCTGACAGAACACCTGCAGAAATACTCTGAGGCACGCTGCTTCAATGCTAATTAGGCTAGCTTCTGTTAGCTGAAGAGTCATTGCAAAGCTCTGTTTAACTGCTGTGTACCGTTAAAAGTGTGTATTTTCCTCATTCTTCGGACCGTGCCGGTGCCATCGTCCATCTTGACCCAGATGACCAGCTTGTCTTTGGGACTTCCAGTCATCTTATAGAAGAACTGTAAACACTGAAACTTCCTTTTAGGGTAAAGGGTTCGAGACTCCAGCAAAGCAGACTCCTCTGGCTTCCCGGTCATAGTGTTGAAGTACATGAAGTACCCGGCATCTAGAGCATCAACAAAACATGGCAGCCCATGGACTTCATGCTTTACATTCTTTATTTGTACCATCAACATCTATTAAAACTACTAAACATGTCCACCTTCTTGTCTCAAAGCGAGGCTAACTTATGTTTCAGGTGCTGCCATGTTGTAGTTTAGCAGCACCCGGGTGGAAAAGCATTCCGCTGGAGTTTCTGACAATTAGAATTGTGCTCACATTTTCTAAGTTAAACACATTTCTTATAACAACGGTAGTTTCTGCTTCAGCCCTCTCCCCCTCTCCTTGCTTCAGCCCTCTCCCCCTCCCCCTGCTTCAGCCCTCTCCCCCTCCCCCTGCTTCAGCTCTCTCCCCCTATCCTTGCTTCAGCCCTCTCCCCCCTCCCCCTGCTTCAGCCCTCTCCCCCCTCCCCCTGCTTCAGCTCTCTCCCCCTCCCCCTGCTTCAGCTCTCTCCCCCTTCCCCTGCTTCAGCCCTCTCCCCCTCTCCTTGCTTCAGCCCTCTCCCCCCTCCCCCTGCTTCAGCCCTCTCCCCCCTCCCCCTGCTTCAGCTCTCTCCCCCTCCCCCTGCTTCAGCCCTCTCCCCCCTCCCCCTGCTTCAGCTCTCTCCCCCTCCCCCTGCTTTAGCTCTCTCCCCCTCTCCTTGCTTCAGCTCTCTCCCCTTCCCCTGCTTCAGCTCTCTCCCCTTCCCCTGCTTCAGCCCTCTCCCCCTCTCCTTGCTTCAGCCCTCTCCCCCTCCCCCTGCTTTAGCCCTCTCCCCCCTCCCCCTGCTTCAGCCCTCTCCCCCTCCCCCTGCTTCAGCCCTCTCCCCCCTCCCCCTGCTTCAGCTCTCTCCCCCCTCCCCCTGCTTCAGCCCTCTCCCCCCTCCCCCTGCTTCAGCTCTCTCCCCCTCTCCTTGCTTCAGCCCTCTCCCCCCTCCCCCTGCTTCAGCCCTCTCCCCCCTCCCCCTGCTTCAGCCCCCTCCCCCTGCACTGATGCGCCTGCAGCCTCTCAGAGTTCCTGCTGCTCTAAACATTAAAATAATTATTTCATTTTCTGTTCCTCACTTCTGATTACCTTCAATGGTGTCTGTTTGTTGCAACCAGCAGGTACAAAAACTAACTAATTTTTATTTGACTATTTTTCTGTCCTGTCTGTTTATTATCTTCCTGCATCTCCTCTCAATCGTAAAGAAAAACTGCTACCTGGGTTCATATATATTCACCTCATGAGTTACCTTTGAACTGCAGTTCTAAAAGATCTACCGACCGCTAAAACAGCGGAGTGCTTGCCGGTCACACCGGTGAGGTGAAATCACCGGAGGACGAAACAGGTGATGCGCCCCGCTCATTTCTTTCTTCTGGATCACCCCCCTCCCCCACCCCCCGTACGCATGGTCTGAACCAATTTTAATTTGCTATTGAGATCATTGTATTTGAACTCTGACCTCTGCACCTCCCCAGAAGTGTGTGATCCTCTGCTTCGATGCTGCTCTTGGTGCGGACCCAGTCAGCATCATCAGTAGAAGACTGAATCATCCCACAGATGCTTGCGTATTCAAAGGAACACTGGTCCAGAAGGGTTAGAGGGCCAGCTGCAGTTTAACAAGGGGATAAAATAAAGAATAAGCCTACTTTTTTAAGAAAAATGACTAAATGACTTTACTTCAATAACAGACACGCACAACAGTTGTACATGCGGTTGAGCCTGAGGGTGTCCGTCTTGCTAAGGTCCAGGTACTGGCCGATGATGTTGTAGAACTCTGGGATTTTCGTGGTGATGGTAGGGACGGATTCATTCTTATTGAAGGAGAAGGGCCGGTAATGCACGACGGACTCGTAGTCGTACGCCGTGTTTTGATCCGTGATGAAGTCATCATTGTATTTGTTGAAGTTGTGTTCAAGACCTCCCGGGGATTTTAGAATCAGATTTTCATTCAAAAGGTTAAAACATTAAAAAAAAATTTATATTGACCAAACTCTACCTGGTGTGACCTGGTCCAGCCAGATGTCCACGTAGTCGTCTCTGTCTGTGCGGGACTGCTCGTGGTAGAACCCCAGAGCGTGAAGGAGCTCGTGCTCGATCACGGCCTTGTGGTCACAGCCTGGTCCTAAAGACAAAATCTGACCTTTCTGCTGGTCGCCAACACTGGAGAAGCACCTGACAGCCGAATATGCAGAATTAAGAGAGACACACTGCTTGTGTCGGCGGGGGGTTAGACCCTGTAAATGAGCTGATCAGTGGAACGCTTTAGAAACGTGTCGGTTAAATAAAACAACACTTTGGTGGGATACGGCGTAGGTGACGAAGTGGTAGGGATGATTTCCCATTCGCCCCGGTCATTTATTTCTGTAGCCTGCTGGCACTGTGATGGGGGTGTTTGAACCAGACGGACATGTGAATATTGCACTGGTGTGGATGTAGTTCCATTTGGGATTTCATGTTTGCTTTGTATCCAGAGCAGGTTGTGAGGGGAGGCCCCGCCCAGTACCACCTCCCTGGATCATCCTATGATTGGCTGCTTCATTTGGACAAACCAAAGGAAGTGGGATTTGTTTCTTTGGTCTTGGTGTGAAAACGTTTCCTGTATTGTAGAGTAGTGTAAGGTCTTGTCTTTTGTGTATGTGTACACTTACTGTAGGTACATTTATGTGGATGTTTATTTCCTTTTGGGTTTAACGTTGGAGCGCTGACGACTGGGGCTGATTGTTTCCAGGTGTGATTTTCTGGGGTGTTTAAAGGAAGCCAGGTGGAGGCTTGGGAAGGTTTTTTATTTTTTATGTTTTGATCTGTAAAAGGAAAGCAATGAAATGAACGCTTGAGAAGCATCTCTCTTCAGAGAGCATCTTCTTAACTAGCACCTTGTCTGCACCTGTCCCCCCTCTCTACTGTCCACTCCTTGTTCCCTTCTCTCCATGACTGATGTCAATTTTTTGTTGTTACTATTGTTGTTAGCCTCAAGGGCAAAATGCAGATTATCACTTGTAAGTCGCTTTGGACAAAAGCGTCTGCTAAATACATAAACATAAACATTTTGGCTCCCGAGGAAAAATGTCGCTGTGCTGCAGTTTGCCTCTACTTCTTTCACCTTGAAGACCTTCTGGCTGCTCTACATTCCCACAGCGTACTATTAGGTTTAGGTATGCATCTGCTAGCCTTTCATTTGTTGATATTACATTCGTCTAAGAGGACCGGGACCTTCCGCAGCAGCTGCTGTTTACAGATCATTAAAGGTGGTAAACCCAAGTGACAGACAGACATACCCTCCTCTCTTTTCAAACTTGATGAAGGTCTCCTCTCCCTCATAAGGCTTGAAGTCGACACAAGACTTGAGACGATACATTTCAAACGCCTGGTGGACGCAGCCTTTAGCATTCAGATCTGAACAGAAAGAATAGGTGCGGTTTGCCTGCGTCAAGCTCTCACCCACATCTCTTCAACACATCTGCTGTGGTGTTTAGTATGAATGAATGAATGAATGAATGAATGAATGAATGCTTGTGAGTAGTTTTCCGAAAGAGGATTACAAGTCTTAGTTGTTAATATTGATTATTTTCAAATATCTGCTGCCTTTGTTTACATCCTTCCTCCTCATTCTCCTGCAGACCCCCACCCACCCCCCGTGTCCTTTGGGTAACACAATCAGAACTTTTCTCACGGTCCATAAAATATGTCAACTGGATAATAAACTCTCACAATGCAATTGCCACCTGTCCAAAGGTAAAGGTCTGGTCAACTGTTTGCCCTGCTGGTTACCCTGGAGCACTGAGGTCTGAATACTGGACTAGGTTCCTTACAGCTATCTCAGTTCCCTACCAGAGCCTTAGGTTGGGTTCATGTCTTGGTTCACCTTTATTATACAAGTACATCTGAGTAGGTAGACTTCAGGGTGAATTTCTACACCAGAACTCTGTTTTGGACCTGGTTCCTTTAAGCATGTGGGTAAGGACTGAGCCCAGAGAACAACCTGGTTCCTGAAGAAAGGTCCCACAAACGACCGGAAGGTTCATCATTTTGTTATTTTGCAAAATATCAGGATTATTCCAGACAGGTGTGCGTCTGCATGGTACTAGTGAAGACTCTGTCACTTTTAGATACTCCCACCATGCTGTCAGAGAGGTGCTGATACTAATACTTTGAAGCCTTCATGTTTTCTTATGCTTGAGCTAATAAATGGTAAGTCTGAAAGCTCTATCGTATTGCAAAGTGTCTGTTCTATATCTAACCAGGAGCAAACTCTCGCTTAACTTCAAAATAAAGGTAACAACGGAATATCAGTCCCAAAACTCAAGACTTTGAGGGCTTTCCTACAGATGTAGTTTAGTTTGGTTAGATCTGCTAACTTGGGAGAGACAATCATTCCCAGGTATGTGATATTCCCTGACTCCAATTGTGTATTAAGCAAATTGACAAAAGAGAAATTAATTGGTAGAACTGTGGATTTTAACCCAGTTTATAGAGTAATCTGAAACTCTTGAAAAAACAGTTTATCAGTTCTACTGAATGGGAGAGAAAGGATTGAGAATTCTGGAGAAAGAGTAAAACATCATCTGCATAAAGACTGATCTTATGTTCTATTTTCTTACACTTTATCCCTTTAATACCTGTTGTTTGCCTAATTGCTGCTGCTAGTGGTTTGATAAAGATAGCGAACAGTGAGGGGGAGAGTGGGCATCTCTGCCTGGTCCCCCTCTGAAGACAGAAGCTAGCTGATATTTGGTCGTTCGTCCTGACACGTGCTGTTGGTGAACTGTATAATGTTTGTAGCCAGTTTATGAAGAAGTTCCCAAAACCATATTTATGTAAAGTTGCAAATAACAACTTCCAGTTAACTCTATCAAAAGCCTTTTCTGCATCTAGAGATAATATACTAGTTTCTATGTTTCAACTGTAAGAGAAATCTATCAAATTAAGTAATCTACATGAGTTTGTGGATGCAGACAATCTTTGTTTTAAAATCTTTGATCTTGTCCTGGAAGGTTCCCAGCTGTCTTATCGATCAGAAACTTTTGGTAACTTACATATTAATGGTATTTTTATTGGTTATTAGCCTTTTCTTTAGAGTGTTTTGTTAGTTTTGACCACTCCTTTCTCCTGTGCTATGTTAAATCAGTGCCTGTCATGTGAACACCAACAACGTAAGAATGGTAATTCTGTGTTTTTATACACCAATAAAAACTCACCCAAATCATCCCCAAGTATGTAAGGAATTGGGAATTTCCATCTGTATCTTTTGTTGATCAGGGCATTCCTTCTTTTCTGTGGCATAAAAATAAAGTTTGAGAGTCCCTCATAAAAGGTGTGATAATAAACTTTGTTCCAGTGAAACCCAAACAACCCTAATCACGTTGGATCAAAAGCTGCAGCTAAAACCAATAAAACCTTTATTACATTCATACAAAATACTGTAATTACTCTGTTCCAACTTACAGGAACCAGGATGTCTCCTTCAACCAGGTCTTCATCTGAACCTGCAGCACAGGAATGTTGTTTTACTCAGCCACGCAGCTTTGTGATAACGTAAAACATTCATTCTTACCCATGTTTGTTAAAGGGTTCTCATCTTCACCACTCTCATACACCTCTGCAACATAAAGTGTAACATGTCTTAATAACTATTGTCATTCTGTTCATTTGGCTTTTTGAGGACGTTTCCCACATACCGTGGACCTCGTAGGACTGTGGTATCTGCACAAAGCAAGACAAGTGTCAGTGGTAATTCTCATTAATGCATCATTTACAACCTTTTTAGAAAATGTTTTATTACTTACGATGTAGGACGAAGTTAGAACCATGAGCACAAACAGTAGGAGCACTCTCTCCATGATCACATTAGCGTGGAGGCGAAGGAGCTTCAGTCGAGCTGGATCAGATTTATGAAGCCCTTCAATGCCCACAGAAGGACTTTGACTCGTAACTGTTACTGATTGTTCAGCGTGTCCATGTTCATCCGGGTGCACTAACACGCACCTGCTGTTCATCAGCAGATCTGAAACGTCTGTCAGTGTCCCTAACTAGAGAGAGAGAGAACACAAGATGAGGAGTCAAGGGCGCACCTGAAATAAAACAGTGGAAGCGTTCTCATTCGTCCATGGTGGTAAAGAAACACTAATGTAGGCTACGTTGTCTCTGTAGAGCCGGTTTTGGGCTGAAAGTCCTCGGCTCATTTCGGTTCCAGTCTTTGGGTCTAGTTGGGATCTACTGTGCTGGGGGGGGGGGGGGGGGGGGGGGGGACTCGGAGGAGCCGAGAGCTGAACAGTCAAAGAGAGAATATAATATTGTTTTGCGCTGTCTTTTCCGATCTAACGCAAACATTTAATTGAACCCAAAAGGGTTTTAGACAGGAAATGATTTTCATATCAAACCATTATCAGCCCGCCTGTTGGCTAATCCCGCCGGAATGAGCAGGTGCTCTGTCAGAAGTCCTGTTGTCCGACAGGTGCGCCTCTGACCGTTGTGTGCAGTTTGTTGGTTCACAGATGTGCAGTCGCGCGTGACGCAATTAATACACCGATAAGTATTTAAAAAACATGAAGGTTAGCCCAGTCACTACCAACAACAAGAGAGAGGAGGACACACACTCTGTTGCCGTCTGTGGTGCTGAAAGAAGACGCATCACCTGCGTTATTGGATAATAAAACAACTGGTTATTATTGTTTGAAATAAATATCAGTGAGTGACCTTAACGATTTGGGGGCTTTTAAGAGGATTCATTCCTTTCAGGAAAGCCGATCTCTGGAACACACCCCTCGATATTTACAAGTCGTGGCCACACATTAAGTGGGAATGCATTAGTTAATTACTTGTTCCCACGCATTAAGGCTCTCCTGGCCACGCATTAATAACTCGGGGGAACGTGTTAAGAATCTAGAGGCCACAAAATCTTTTTTTTTCCACTCGTGGCATTCTTTCTACCATAGAAATCAAATATTCTTCAGAAAGTTCTTCCCATGTCTGCTGCAGAAGTTCCCTTAAATGCACCACTTGTAGGTTGCTTTGCCTTCACTCTTCTGTCTAGTTCATCCCAAACCAGCTCCACGGGGTTGATGTCTGGAGACTGTGCTGGCCACTCCATGTTTACAAGCTCACCATCTTGTTCTTTTTCAGTTCTGGCATAGCTTGGACTTATGTTTTGGGTCATTATCTTGCTGTAGGTTGAACCCCTGACCAACTAGGCACATACCAGAGGGTACAGCATGGCGCTGGAGAATGCTGTGGTAGCTATTTGGTTCAGGTGCCTCTCATTCTGTACAAGTCACCGACCCTGGATGCAGCAAAACAGCCCCAGACCATCACACTTCTCCTCTATGTTCCACAGTTGATGCCACACCCTGTGGAACCATCCTTTCACCTACTCAGTGGCGTACAAAGATCCTGCGTGGTGAACCGCAGATTTCAAATTTGGATTCATCAGTCCATAATAGCGTCCTCCAGCCTTCGGTAGTCCAATGGTGGTGTTTCATGGCTCCGGCAAGCCTCTTTCTCTTATCCTGACGTCTTAGCAGCGGCTTTCCTGCTGCAACTCGTCCTGTCACACCTGCAGCTCCAAGTCTCCTCTTCACAGTTGAAACTGAGACTTGCTTACTACGACCACTATTAAGCTGTGCTTGAAGCTGTTGTCCTGTGTGGGTCACACAGTGGAAATTTGTGTTTGTCTTTTAGGGTTTTTATTGGCATGCTGTGATTTTTATTAGCATGGGCTTGGTGTTAATTTTTTTGTATTGCCTGTTTTTAATTTATTGCATGTCGTTTTAATAAGTGTTTTTGTTTGGAGTTGGACAGCGGCGGTGACGAGGATCGCAGTGATGTCAGCCGGGCCTTGTACCTGATGCCCCAGGAATCTACCAGGATCGACTTAGGGTGGTTCGAACGCCGCAGGGGAACGGCGCGGATGGGACTGGACCTGCTCCTGGTGCTGTGGAACATCATTTTCCTCCTTTTAGGGGACTTCTAGTGCTTGTAGAGAAGTTTTTGGGGGACTTTTTCATCTTTAATAGAAAAGAGACTGTTTGTGCCATTTTATATGTTCTCACCCGTAGGGAATAAAAGTGAAAATCCTCTGGTTTATATTCTGGTCCCTGGGTTCTGATTCCGCTGCTCTCTCTTGGTTAAAGGCGACCTTGAGTCGGCTGTGTCAGATTTACGGCCCGACATGAGCCACCTATCACACAAGCTGCTAACTCTTGTCCTCTGATGCAGTTGTGGCTTTGGGTCGGAGTTTTCCCCAGTTTCTGAGTTTCGTTTGATGGTGAAGGAAACTGTTCTCACTGACAGCTTCACTTTCTTTGCAATTTCTCTGCAGGAAAGACCTACACTTAAGTGTTATGATGGTCTGTCTCTCCTCTATTGTTAACTGCCTTTTTCTCTCCATTTTTGTAGCAACACACTATTATCTGCAGTACAATACTGTTCAACTGATGCTCACGAGGGTATGGTACCACAGTATGTTCCAGTGGTGCCTTTATGCAGACAGAGGGGGCTGTAAGTAATCCAGAACAGTTAGCGCACTGCTGAGAATTAGTAGCAGGGTTAGGGTTAGGGGGACATCGCCTCTCCTCCATTCATTTTCGACCAGACATGCGCGACAAAGCGATAATCGCGGGTCTCCTTCCTACCAAGCGAAATGCGAAAAACGTGCGTGTGAAATTTTGCGCTCGTGCACGTGTCGTGTACAGACGACCCAGCGGCGCGATCCCAGAAAGTTGAAATATTTTCAGCTTTTCATCGCGGTCGCTCGGACGAGGACCAATCATTGGAGGTTTCATTCACTGACCAATGGGCGGACAGGATGCTCCGTACATCTCCGAGCAAACATGGAGAAGTTGGTACTTGCTGTGACGGATTTCCCAGAACTGTACAATATTTCTACCAAAGGATGTAGAATATTTATAGTAAAATCAGAAGTAAGATTTCACATAACTCTAGCAGCACCTTGTGAAACATCATATCTACCACTTTATTAACTCTGAACCGCTTAAATAACCTTAATTCCCTCCAACCTGACACAGCCAATCAAAACAACATGGAACAGAACGCGTAGACGGCTTTGCCGCTGGCCGCTGCCGCGGTCGCCACCCGTTTGTCGAGCCCATTAAATAGCATGAAATAACTGAAAAAATGAGGGTGTTGTAAAACTTTTGACTGGTAGTGTATATATAGGTCGGTACCGGCCAAAGGTTTGGACACACCTTCTCATTCAACGTGTTTTCTTCATTTTCATGCCCATGAACGTAGAACGTCACTGAAGACATCAAAACTATAAAAGAATACATGTGGAGTTATATTTTTTCATTGAGGCCCAAAACTCCTGGCGGCCCCCTGTTATCCTCAGTTAGTGAACTCTGAAATGTTCTAACGCTGTTGGGTGTCTGATGGTCTGTGAAATTTCTCCCTGTGAGGCTGATGGCTCATCTGGTGAGGTGGTCAAGCCGTTGAGGTGATGGACTGGTAATCCACTGTGCTCTGGTCGTGTGGGTTCAGATCTCATCCTTGTTGGATGATGACTAACTTTATTGTTCCTGGAGGTTTAGGTGGCTTCATAGCTGATTCCTGGCCCTCCTAGGTGCATTTATTGGGTAGAAATATTTTGCTATTGCTAAAGATGGTCTACGTTTCTAGGCTACCTGATTCTAGGAATGAGTAGAATATTTGAAAACTCAGTAAATTCAAAAATGTAAAAATAATTCACCAACACACTAGTCTCTAAAACTTATACGGAGGGTGTACGTTTGTAGAGAAGACCAGAAATAGTTTTAGAAATTAAAATATTCTTGTGTTTCACTTTGCCACAGAGACCCAAAGTCTGGATCCGGACCCCACTGAGGGTCACAGAACCCTGCCGTCAGGGTCTTGAGATGCTCGATGTTAATCTAACAGAATATTTTCTTTCTGATTGATATTCAAGCTTAAAATAAAACCTGTAGATAAAAGTGTGACATGATTTGTGGTTTCAGTACTTCTTCGTTTATGTGTGTACATTAACACTGTCGACTCCCTCAGTAGCTGACATGAATTAGTTCAGTTAGCTCAGCTGGAAATGTCTAACAGTTGCTGCAAAAAGGCACGATCAATAGAACCCAGATACCTTGATTCAGCCTGGGAAAAGATGCAGATGCTGCTCGAAGCTTTTGTAGAAAGCTGTTCAGGAAAAAGCACTCAGGTGGGAAGGCATTACCTCTGATTTAACATTTATTAAGGTGACACAACAGGAGACTCGGACCCAGGTCAGAATAGAAAATACAAACGAGTCATAAAGTTCAGAGCTGATCCACAAGCTGCCACAGGGAAAGTTTAGAGCTCGGAGAAACCTTCAGCAGAACAGGACTTTATCCAGTCTAGATGGGACATCACACGGAAAACATTTTACTCTTCAGTCCAGGAGGTGTTCATGTTTTCATCTGCCAGAAAACAGTTAGGTGACATTTCCACAGCTAACATTTGGCATGCCACAGCTGAGGTTAACAAGTAAAAATGCTGCTAGAGGAGCTGTGGGACTTGTTTATGTTTTATTCCCGGCTGTCCTCTTCGGCTTCGTATCCTCTGTTGTCACATCCCTGCTTTCCCTCTCTGCAGCTCTCACGGGGATCCGAGGAGCCGCTCGTGTCTCCAGAAGCTCCATATCGACGTACTTCTTTTCCAGGAGAGAGGTAGACGGTCTCAATCCGCCCCTCGTGGTGGTCTCCTGATGTCTGTGACTGCATTCAGCGGAAACACAACTAGTCACTTACTCAAACTTGAAAATGACACCAGGTGGCTGTTTTATTATGTATCAGTACCCTTTTAGTCATCAGAGAGCAGCAACGTGAAACATTTAGACCTCTAGAGCTGAAGTTCAAACCGAGCATCAGACAGGAGACCACTTTAGATTTGAAAGATCCGTGTTGTAGACGATGGAAACCCAACATCAGCTCTGGTCGGCAGGACCTCACCAGCTGCTCCAGATGGACTCCAGCAGCAGAAGACCACAGCAGGTGTCTCTCCTGTCAGCTAACACAAACCTGAGGCTACGATTCCCACAGGACCGGACTGGTCCAGAACTAGACCAGTCAAGACTGGAAACACCTTTCCTGGTCTGATGTGTCCGGTTTAACCCCACAGCCTACCTGAGTGTTTCTGCTGGCCATGTCCATCCCTTTATGGACCCATCATCTGATGCTACGTCCAGCAGGATCACGCACCGTGTCACAAAGCTCAGATCATCTCTAACTGGTTTCTAAAACATGACCATGAGTTCACTGGTCTCCAACAGCCTCCACAGTCACCAGGTCTCAGTCCAGTCCAGAACCTTTGGTATGTGGTGGAGCAGGAGGTTCTCCTCACGGATGGAGCTGATGCTGTCATGTTGGGGTGGACCAGAACCTCTCAGGACCAGATTATTTAATCTAACACATGAAAAGGAAGGCAGCTCTAAAAACAAAAGATGGTCCGACCTGTCCCAACAGGGTGTGCCTAATAAAGTGGTCAGCGATGACAGCTGAGCTGGTTGTTTGTGGTCACCTTGTGGTGGCGGATGTGCTGATCGATAGCATACTGGTATTTAGCTGCATTCAGTCCCAGAACTCCAGCGAGCCTCTCTCCGAGGAAGTCACACGCTGTCGTCGGGAACAGAACAAACGCTGTTAAACCAGGTGAGATGGAGTCTGCAGGTCGCGGAGCGTGTCTCTACATACCCAGCAGAGAAATCCTCCCAGCCAGAACAGCCGCATTCTTCAATGTAAATCTGGTCTGAGAAAAGAAAAGCAGATTGACCATGTGACCAGACCCTTCATTTCTGATTTGTCCTCATTTAACACAACCCTACCTGCTCTGTGGGTCCGTTTAAGGACGACTGCTGCTCTACCGGCTCATCCTCACCGTCTTCCAGCTCCAGAGTCTCCCCACTGGAGAAGTGGATGATCCTCTTTGATGTCTGTGAAGAAGGACCTCCAAACTCTGTTTCTTGGTCTGGTTCTTTCTGACAGACAGACGTGGTTTAAGCTCAGCCGCTCTGTTAGCAGCTGTTAAGGGTTAGCGCACGCTAAGCTAAGTGTTTGTTTTGTTGGTTTTTACAGCACTTACTTCCTGTTGGCTGCAGCTCATTCTTCAGGTGATTTTTATCTTTATGGAGCTGGTGCCGCTCTAGATTCTGTCCGTCATGTCCCACCACCTGTCCAGCGCTCTGCTTGTCTCAGAAGAAGACACCTTCAGGATCCTGGATCAGCCTGGACACCAGCGAGGACACACTGCAGTGAAGTGGTCACACGCAGGCAGGTTACTGTTGCTCTATTGTTGGTGTCATTCTGAGCCTGAGGGGGCGTGACCTGAGCCAGGACACGTGTGGAGAGTGTCACCGTTTACCGACACAGCCAGACAGAACCTGTTTTCCAACTCTCTGCTTGGATTTGGAAAGAAAACATGTCTAAGGTTGATCTGAAAATGTTAGAAATATTTGATGTCTTCAGGAAGTTGCCTGGTCCTAGATGTTAAAACACCTTTAAACAAGTAACATCTTAATCACTGATCTACAACCAGGCCAACATGCAGAGTGCATGCTGTCTGCTGCAGGTACATTAGGTGTTGGAGATTACCACAGTAATATAATATTACTCATTAACAATACCATCATTACCTCTTTCAACTAACACATGTCTGAATGCCAGATGGGACTTCTGAGTGTGAACAGAGTTTTGAGAGAGCAGAATAAAATCTGAGCATGAAAACAAGGATCGAAGCTCTCAACGTGACAAAATACACTCTTGATTAAAGGCAGGATAGTATTCCTGGATTTCATTGCTAACAAACAGTGAACATGGTAGATGGGTGACGAGTTAAAGACCTGTAACTGAATCCCTTTAGACCTAGCCCTTTGACCGGGCCACTGCAGCTCGTAGATTTTAGTTTCCTGTTCCTGAAGTGCTGTTTGGCTTTTTAGATAAACGCAGCAGGTCAGCATGATCATGTCTCCGTTTTGGCCTGTCTGTTCACAAGTCTTCATTTTAACTGTTTCTCAGGCCTCTACCTCTTTAACAGAATTTGTGTATTCCTCAAAAACATGCAAATATGAATACATTGGTTTATTTATACATAACTATCTAAAAATACGATGTACCAAATCTTTCCTGTCGTCTGCCCTCTAGTGGAGGAGGTAAGGACTGGAAGGTAGTGATGGGAAAAATGAAGCCCCATGAAACAACGGGGCTTAAACGGCTCGAGGCCTCGGCTAAGTTCTTCAAGACACTTCCATCTGCTGGATGATTTAATGTATTACGACATTCTATCACTTCATAGTACTACAAAGTATGTAGATACATCGAAATTGGGTGTATTGTTCTCCTTTTGTGCAAAAGTGAAATATAAAATATAATTATTAATTAAAATTTTAGCTGGATGGAAACCTTAAATGTAAAAACAGAACAATAATAATAAAAGGGATACAATAAACAATAATAAAATCACACTGCTCGTCCAGACATTTATGTGAAAAGCTTTTGTGAATCAAGGCGATAAAGTCAATTCCAATAAAAGTTTCCAAAAACTTACTGGTTTTACTCATTTTTATTCAAAAACAAAAGTTTCTGCTAGGTTTTTGGGTTGAGCCCGTTCCTTTTTTTTGTACAGTATTCCCCCAGCCTTTCAAAAAACCCTTTCACATGGCACAGATGATGCTGGGGAGCACAGGAACGTTTTTGCCAACCCATAAAGGTGTGGATATCAACTTTTTGTCTTGCTCCAGTGGAGCAACGGATCCTCATTTCGTGGAATGTTGTGCTCTCCAGTCCCTCTGGGATTAATTATTGATTGATTGATTGATAGCGGTCAACTTCAATAGTGGTATCTGCCACCACACTTGAGCTGCTGCTGATGGTTTGGTCCAGCAGATGCTGGCCTAGCTAGGCCAGTGTAAAGGGTTAATTTACATGTTATTTAATGAACCATGAGACATGAGATTCCATAGAAAATATGAAATCAATCTGATGGACCTTTGGGTACTTTTAACCAGAAGATTGGAACTTTTTATTGCAAGGATTATGTAACACTTCATATTGACTGAGAGACAACAGAAAAGAGTCAAGTTTTAAAAGTTTAAAGATTTATTACAAAACAAATTAAACTAGACTAACTTTAAACACTAAATGTATGGTGTAACTAAGGTGAAGTGAGATGGAGAATGGGAGTGAAGGTGATGTATTCGCGCTAAGCTATGATTTGGAGATTCATAAACACATAAGACGCCATGTTGCCGCTCCACACATGCCCTTAGAATGAAACCTCCGTACAGATCCAGACTGCCAGGTCCTCGAACCCCTCTTTCGGTACCGGAGCCGATGAAACAGCGTCAGCAGTACGACCGACTAGTCTTTGGATTGTCTCCAGGTAAAAGCGACAGATGGTTGACAGCGTCAGATGGACCCGGAGGGTCAATGAGTTCAGCTTTTATTCTGAAAGGAACCGTTGCTTGGTTGGAACAGCAACAGGTTTTATCCAGCTTGTCGTTGGTTCTTTCGGCTGAAGAGGAAAGTTACGGATTGGCCACTCCGACACTTCTCTAGAACGCTTTGAACTGGCGTTAAAGATGACGTGGGCATAGTTTTATACTTCGGATGTTTTGGTTTATGGTTGAATGAAAAGATGACAGATTTACCAAACACCACCAAAACCACGCCTCCGTCAGATCTGGCAGATTCTGACTGGATCAGTGAAAGCAACGTGTGATGTGGCTTAGCCTTATGTGAGATCAGTCCTAGTGGAAACATTTAAAGTCACATTACGTATTATATTCTATAGGATTATAATAAAGTAATTAATATTTTCATTTCACAAATGGTTTCACATCTTATTGACTAACACTTTGTTTGATTAGCTTATTAAAAATAGAGTTCTTTGATTTATTAAAAAGAAAGAGTCCTTTGCCTTCATTCTTCTCTTGCGCTGGAAAGGAAAACCGTTTAGGAGCAGATGCATGAGACCTTGAACAATATCTCATGCAGATTAGTTCTTGCTGAGGAGATGGGGAAATGACTTATAGATGGAAAACTGTCATTTCATTCCGTTACACCAGGCACCTTGCTGATGTGGCAGTGTGAGTGTCCTGTCAAAGTGTCCCGATTGATCATGCGCCCTGGCCACTTGGCCAAGGGGATGTCCCTTTGGCTGACTGGTTAGAGCGTATGACTCTTACCCGGGAGTCTGGGGATCGAATCCCGCCCGGGCCCTCGTTTCTCCACCTTGCCACACTTACGAGGACACTGTCCTTCCTTGGTCAAAGAAAACAATAAATGGAAAAGCCTTAACTCATGTGACCATGGCTCTGCAGCGATCAAGTCACATCATATGAGGTCACGTTATATTTTATACGTATAAGTTTCAATATAAATGTGTAACAAGCCATTTAAATATGTAAGCAAGTTACTTCCTCCTTGCTCAGCTAGGTAAATGGCTAGCAAACGGGAGAACAAAAGCCTTGGTAAAACACGAACATTGGAACATACCTTGGCGGTTCCTGATGACATCTCCTAGGCAACTGGGATGGGACCAACTCATCAAGCCAAGGTTCCTTGATATTGAGAAATACCCAGTGTTTCCATCTACGTTGGCCCATGAGGACATAATGCATTTACTGATTTGTAACTAGAGGTCACAAAACGTTCACTATTCATAAACATTGTTTCACACTGTAGCGTTATGGTTTATGCTCTTTTATGAAAGAGGAACCATTCCACATATTAGTGATATTAATTTTATTAAATTAATAACCAAATTGTATAGTTTTAAGAAGACTCAAAGGTTGTTTTCATCGATAAACTGACGATAATATCCGTGTGTCTGTGTTTCAGTTCAATGAAGAAACAAGTTTGACAATTAAAAGTTTTAATTCTTCAAATTAAACTAATGATTTTGAAATTGACAAACAGGAAATAACAATCAACATTGGCAACTTTGTGAGACAATCTTTAACAGTTGATATGCTGTTCTCGCTCAAATAGACCTTGTGGTGAATGTGTGAAGATTGAACATGAGGTGAGATGAAGGCATGTGGGTGTGCATTTGATTTTGCTTCAGGAAGAAACAGGTGTCTGAGTGAGGTGATGGTTTGGATAAACTTAGGTCTTATTGAAAAACTGCATCAAACGCTAACTACCGTGTTCTGCCTCACCGAAAATCAGACCCTCTTTTAGATCCGGGACGCCAGAGGATGGTGATGTTCATCCAGGTGACACCAGCGGCTGGCAGAGGAGACGGAGGTGTCCGCGGCCCGGTCCAGAGATGCCCGCGGTACACGTCGATGGAAAAACGTTTGCAGATGCGTTTTGTTAAGTTTAGTTCACTCAGAAATCAAAAGACTCGGTATGAGTCTGCGTTAGAAGTTGCGATTCAGCTATTCTGTCTGGCTGACAGGAACAGCGTGGGGGGGGGGGGGGGGGGGATGAGCCGATCGGCTCTGTCCCCCCTTTGGTTTCTTCAGGTCCTCTCTCTTTCGTTGTCCAACACGAACTGAATCCTAAGCTGAAACTTACCAAAAGCCTTTCTCTTCTCAAAGCAAACGTGTGCGTCAGCAAATGTGTTTTGGAGTTTACTGTGAGAATTTGTGTGTGGGTGTGCTTGAGTGTGTGTGTGAAGGTCGTTAACAAACATCCTCAAACATTATTTAAGTATGGATTCATTAATCCATTATAATTACCCAAAGCATATGAATCATTCATTTGATTAAACACATTTATAATGAGCAAAATGATAATGATTATTCTTTAACATTAAAATCAAGAAAGGAAGTTTAAGACTTGTTGTGACTACATTTCCTGGGAACACATCTTCTGGCAGACTGCAGGTGGCAGATGTTATGGTTTCCAGCAGACTCTTGCAGACTTCATGTCTGCAAAGGTCTCAATCTGTGGGTGAAAGTTCTCAGCGACCCAGCTCTTTGACCCAGCCGAGTCAAATGACCTTTTGCACAGAAAACCCATATTTCCTCACGTTACAACACATTTACCTTTTCACTCATTGCCAGTGATGAAAGGGAGTCTGGTGTGTGTCATTTTACTGGAGGTTTCAATGCCAGGGATTTTTTACCCTAATGAGTTGGTAAGGTCTTACTCAAACACAAAAATACTGCTTGCTTGCAGTGATTTAGGTATGTACTGCCACCTATCGCCAGGGACAATAGGGAGCCTAAGTCACTTCCGCATCACGGGTACCTGGAAGAACGAAAAAATGAATACAAGGCAACAGGGCTAAAAACACTATTTTCTTTGATGTGTATTACTGGTTTTGGTTCTTGCCTTTGTGGACTTTGGGTTCCTCGTATTGGTTCGTCTTTTCTTGCTGTTGTTTTCCTTTGTTTATTGCCCATATTGGGTATCTGCAGGTTTTTTAAGCGTTTTGTATATGTTGGTCCACTTGTTTACAGTCTTGTTATGTTCGCTCAATGCTATAATGTTCTGATCACTGTTGTGATTATTTGGGCACGAATAATTTGTAAGCTTTTACTTACTTTTTGGATTCATCAATAAATTCGTAAATATGGAAATATTTACCAAATTATTAATTAATTAGGATATTAGAATATCCACGGGGCACCACCCCTTTTAACAGGGGAAAATGAATCCGAAACCTCTTATCAATCTTGTCTAAACTTTCTGTGAAATCGTAACGAGCTGCAGTTAAATTTTATATCACACAAACAAATTCACTTGAAACAAAACTGAATTGGCAATACATTTATAAACTAATATATTCACTTCAGCTCCTTCTGAAGCGTTAATCAATCAATATCAACCAACCTATTTTATCAACAACAATTAACAATGAAACAATGAAATGATCCTGTAAAACAATCTGACCCAATAAGTGTGTGTTTTAGTCTTGTGTCCTCCTAAACACTGAAAACCAAAATGTGTGTGTGTGTGTGCGTGAGTGGGCAACTTTCACTTTAAAATTCCGAAGCACAGTAAAACTTCAAAAAACTTCTAAACCGCTTCACAAAGCTCAATAAACAAACAAAGATCAATCATAAACAAATTAAATATCTAAATATTTGTTAATGCTGTGGCCACAGCCTAACAACTTAGACATTAAACTGAAAGAAAAGATCTTACTTCAGTTGTTCCGATGGCGTTTTTGGTACGGGAAATAGAGAAAGCCGTTGGTATTTTAAAGCAAATCGCGCGGTGTGATTGCTTATTCTGGCTTATTAGAGAGAAAACGGAAGAGAAAGTGAGAGAGAGAAAAACTTTGAACGAACGAAACAGCGAAGCGTCCCTCAGTTTCCAATCGGCGTTCTCCGTTGATTTGACGTTTTCCGCTGCTTTTCCGCGGCTCTGCGTTTCCACTTCAGCCGCCAGGCCTCGTGCACACGCGGTCCGGAGCGGCAGCAACGAGCGTGTCCTCGCGCCAGTCAAACTTCTGGACAAAAGACGATAAGTTTAGTTTTTCGCTGGGATTTATAGACTCCTCTGTCTGGTGGGCTGACTCTGTGTGGGTCAGCACATGCGCAGAAACCCGTGCTCCGCTTTGGTGATGTCATCACGCTGCTAATGGGAAATGAAGTTGTTGCTGGCGCTGACTTTTAATATCTGCTTTTCAGAGCGCAGATGACAGTCTTTTGGAGACTGCATAGTAATTTCCTCATGAGGGCAGACCCTCAACATCACTAACATTTTATGTCCACAAAGAACACAAGCCTGGAGGAGTTCTGCTGTGCGGTGGAGTTGCAAATCCTAACGGTTAGCTTCTACTAGCCCAGACATTTTCTACTGATTCCTGGATGCTAAAACAACAACAGCCTTACCTGTTATGAGTTGAAACGGGTGAGTCCAAGCAACAGCTTGATGTAGAGCTGCCAGGCTTTTCAAATCCTAGCTTTACACTAAATCCTATCAGAAGCTAATGCAGGAGATAGGTGTAGAACCCAATTTTCATGTTCAGTCTGCATGTTAAACTCAGAGTGACTGATCAGTTTTAAGCAAAAGTTTGTTTTCAGAAAGGAACCTGTTTAACTAGCAACTTTCACATTTTGGGTTTGTTTTGTTCTCGTTACATTTCTTACAGTTTAAACATCCAAATATTTTTGTCTTTAACACTGACACAGGATCTTCAGACTGTAGCCACACAGGCGCCCTTCAGCGTTTCCTCGTTCATATTAATACAGTCATTGTAAAAGCTTGGCAGACAACCCGTCTTTTATAAGTCCAAAAGAGGATGCTTCTATGAATAAAACATTACTACATTCAAATATAACACCAAACAAAAGTGGCTTTTCCGGATGATTTAATACCATTGATGAGTTACATTTTACATGATGGACATCACCAGAGGTGGAAGAAGTGAATTTACACTGCAGCAATAGATGGAAATCAGTTCTTCAGTGCTTGAAAACTACAAGTCAGTTAACTAAACCAGCTATAAATATGAATAATGTTGAATAAAGTGTTATAATGTGCTTGTACTACTTTTTAGGTAATCAAATATACATGTGGGTAAGATCCAGCAGCAGATGGCTGAAACTGATTTTTAAGGATGGCCTGGACGACTTTCGGAGACAAACAGAAGTAATTGTGTTGGTTGTGTTAAAGGTCAAAACCAACATACGGTACACGTGTTGTGAAGGCCCACTTGGCCTCACTAGGGCTGAACGATCTATTGGTTTTGATTTCAAACAGCATGATCATGTGACAGTCAAAGCTGCTGTTTTTTAGTGGTTTTGACTGATCCAGGATCTGTTGTGTCAACTTTTTTTACATCCAGGGCTTCCCCCCAGTGTGTTATGGCAGCCGAACAGCCAGCGTGGGGGAGGGGTGTACCGCCCAGAGCGGACAGAGCTGCACCTTTAGGTTATTTTCCCACACACAGCGCTGCTAGAGCTGATAATAATGGCACCGTAGGTGAGCACAGGACAGAGACTCCTCCCACATCGGAGCACGTTCAAGCTGATTTTTAAAGCTTGGTTTATGCTTTGCGCACTTTAGTTGACTTGAAAGTTGAACTTCTTTTAAAATGGTTTGAATTTTTATGATGGCACACGTTAGTTCAAACAAGCCAACGAGTCAGAGTGTCTCTTTCGATGCATGTCTGTCTCACGGAGCTGCCCGCAGCATAAGCTAGGTTTTATAGCAGTTTAGTGAGGAAAAACGTGCAGCCAGCCTGCCTTGGTAGTGCAGGGAAAACGGTGAGCATTGTTTATTGAATACATTTGAAAGCTGTTTCTACCTTCAGATTTACTTCTTGCATGTTTGGAGTAGAACAAGAACCTGTTTTTTATAAAGCACCTCTCTAGATAAAAATCACAAGTTGCTTCACAAGCACATTAAAAAGTAAAAAAAAAGATATAAATATAATAATGGGAAAATATTAATAGCTTTAACTGATTTTACTGTATGAGAGTAAATATTAACGTGAATAATTGGTTTTACTAGATTAGAGTCTAGACCAGGGTTTCTCAACCTTTTTCAGCTAAACGCCCCCCAAGTCATGCTGAAATCCCTTACTGCCCACCAATGTCCCACGCAGAGAAACGGAAAGTTTTTTGATACAAAAATAATAATTTAAAAAAATAAATAAATAAACAATTCAGCCTCGAGTTGAAACAGTTTCATACAAATATGTCATTAAAAAAGTATCATAAAAAAGTGTTTTTAGCTATTAGCAACAAGACATCTTAGGAAGCTATAATCCTCGGTCCAGTAAATTTGAGCTTCGAGCAAACATACTGCTAATGCTACCTCTCTTCGAGTGTCTCTCTTTAAATACCTGAAAATAGTTCAGTTCCTTTGAAGCTTTGTCTGGATGCATTTTGGACAAGTGCTCCTTAAGCCGGGAGGGTTTCATTGCTTTGTTTCAAAAAACTTGTTCACAAAGCAGGCACATGGGGAGTTGTGGATTCGTGGGTGAAGGACTAAATCCATACCGAAGGTAGTCCACATTGTACTGTCAGCACTTCTTTTTATTCTGAGCCATTGTCTGTTATAAATGTCCTGTATCGCTAGCGCCCACCATTAGCATCTCAGCGCCCCCTTCAGAGGCAAAAAACTTTCACCGCCCCCTTATATAGTCTGAATGCCCACTAGGGGGCGCTACAGCCCCCGTTGAGAAACCCTGGTCTAGACCATGTTTTCACTTAATATAGAGGATGGCTTGGCAGGCTACTGTTATACCTTTGTTTGGAGAAAATCGTGAATAGAACTGAAATCACAATTTCTGCTAAAAAAATCGCAATTTCAATCTTTTCCTAAACTCGTTCAGCCCTACTCATCACCATGTTGAACATTTTCAAGAATACATGCTCCCACGTGGGCATGGTCCAGCCAGTGGTTTCCAGTTAGTACACCCCACTGGAGGATGGGCCAGTGTGGATGAGGGACACAAATATGAAGTTCATCACGGGGGTTGGTGGAGGGTGCCATAGGGCAGGTAGAAAAGGGGGCAATTGAGCGGGGTGTCTGGTTTTCTGTGAAAAAGACAAAGGTGATGGTAACAAGGAAGAGAGTAGGGGGAGCGGTTTGATTTGTTATATGGACAGGAAGTGGAAAGATTGATGCATGGAGGAAGATGGTGGGGTAAATAGGAGTGGCGTTGTAGGTGCTGGAACTTCAGGTGGAGGGTGGATTGTTTTTAGATAGAATCTGGATTTATGTTGAAGAAAAACAAGGACTGGACTCTTTAAACAAAACTGGGAACCCCGTTGAAAGCAGCCATCTGGAATTTTCCCCTTTAAGGATTCAGACTGGATTTTTTGGAAATTCGTAAAAGTGATAAGACTTACCCTGCACTGCAATATAAAGTAGGCCAGCTGTACGAAACAGGCGGCCCGCGGGCCTTGGCCCCTGAACCACGCGCACCCCCTCCCTGGTCCGACCGTCAAGCAGGAGAGGTAGGAACGGCGCCGGTGTGCATCAACTTCAAGGTCGTTTTGTTAAGTGGCCTCGGACCAGTACCCCTGATGTATCGGACCAGTACGCCTGATGTATCGGACCAGTACGCCTGATGTATCGGACCAGTACGCCTGATGTATCGGACCAGTACCCCTGATGAAGACTACACATCAGGAAAAATGTCTTTGGGCTAATCCCACTCTCCATCCCGTAGAGCTCCATGCACGGAGCGCTGAAGTACCTGGACTCATGCAGAGCTGGTGGCATTTCTGGACAAGTCTTTAAAATATGTGTGGACATGAATGAAGAGCTTGGACAATACTTGGATGACGTGTTTTAGTTCTTTTAGCTGGCTAGAGGGGCGTGTTCCCGAACGAGAGGCATACCTTCCAGCTGCAAGCATGAAACAGGGAGGCAGGCTTAAAGGTGCGACCCCCCCCCCTCCCAGATGGTGCCCTTTGAGAATAAACCTCCAGATTCCTGCTTGTACAGTTTGTGAGTGATATATCATGAATTTGAGTTTAGTAGCTAAGCTTCTGTTTATGGAGTTTGTCGTTTAATGTCCAGGGAGCTGGGCAACATCATGTGTGCATCTTTTAAGGGCGCCCTGGCCCTATCAGAGACCAGCCAGGCAAAAACATCACAGTCAACCCCAGAAAAAGTGGAGTTGAGTTCGACAGCTCGTGTCGAATAATATTACAGAACAGAAATAAATATTCCCAACAACACAAGCATGAGCAAAATCCAACATGAAAGTAGAAAAAAGTCATAGAACCTGGAAAACAACTACAGCACATATACGTGATCAGAGTGACTGTAAACGGCAACAGCTACGACAAACTCACCAGCAATAATCACGCCGTCTAGCGTCTGCCGTCATGGACGCACATCCCAGATTATCCTCAGTGGGTTGTTCAGGTTTAGACACAAATAATCTCTTTTAGCCAGAAGCTGAATGAACAAACTTTCTTCTGCTGGATTGTTCTCATCGAATCTAATGTGCTGTAACTTTTCAAAATAAAAGCGCATCTTGTAGATGATTTGGGAGATAAGAATTTTTTTGGTGTCAACATCCAGCATGTGTTCAGTTTATGAGTCATGTATCGGGGCAGAGAGGTCCAAACTCAGACAAGCGCTTCAACTACATTACCCATAAGCCTCACGCCCCATCCTGGTTTAAAGTGGCGCGTCATTACTGGCTGGATTCTGACAGAACCATCAATCTTTTATTTGAGTGTTTGAGTTCACCTCTCACAATTCAGACATCAGGTGACAAAATAATCAAATGTGTGGTTGGAGCGCGTGCAGCCATGTTTCTGTTTAACAGGAAATGCAGCTTTCAGACCCGAAATGTTTAAGAGAGAGGAAAAACAAGGTTGGTCGTTTTTGCACTTTGAAACCTTCCACCTTCCCGGTCTGTGTTTTCACAAACTAGAGGAGAGTCTTGTGTTTCCGACGCAGATGACCGTCCGTGGGACGCACTTGTAGATGTAATAAGGGACCGTGTCTAAACATAACGCTCCAGCATGACAGTAAAAAATACAAACTGATGCTGAAACAAAGGCGTCTCCTATAAAGAGAACCAGACCGTGTTACTATAACTGGTGAGCGTGAGGCTGAAGAGATGAAGAGCAGAAGGTTTAGGAGAGGATGCAGCCCGTGTCCTGCTGAGGCTTCAGGTCTGGTTCCTTCACCGGCTTCACCTCCTCCTCCTTGGGTTTGGCCTACAGGAAAAGCATCCAGTCACACAGCTTGCATTCATAAATACTGTTGTTTTAGATTCATCCAGATTATTATCTTAATGTTATCCACCTAAGTTATAATCTAATGATGTTTTATTATTTATTTCTTTTGGTCATTTAAAAGGAAAAAGAAAGAACACAGTAATACAAAAAGGTGCCGACCCTGTTTACTCCATCACATTACTTCAAAAAAAAAAATAATGAGATAAAAGTAACGTCATAATAAAATGAGTGAGATAAAAATTATAATTATGATAATAATAATTTAATATATTGAGCAACAACCACCATAATTCAGCAAGAGGAACAATAGCCAGAACTAAACCCTAACCCACAAAAGTACCAGTAAACTTAATGTATGCTAATGATCAAAACAGAGATTTAAATACTATAACTTGTGCAAGAACATTACATTTTCATTCACATCGATCAGACACACTAGCTAGCTCACATACGGTCGTTATGGTAGTACGACATATATAGGAAGATAAAATGATGTAGTAGCCGTTTGCATTCCTCTGAGGACGGTGGAGTGTGTCTGACCCGGTGCCTTAAACACGACACAAGTTAACTGTCCTAACGGCTGCAGTGACCCTTCAGCCCGGATCACACAGGACTGCTCGTGTCACACTGTAACGTAAGATTTCTGAGAGTCCGACTGTACGACGTCCTCAAAGAGGAAGGATCATTTTTAAATCCCTCGCTTTGGCGTCGTTTAGCTAAACAGCTGATCTGTCTGCTGGGCATGTATCCTTCCCCTTTACACATAAAAACCCACTAAACTACAGAGAAGCAACACTCTGCCACCAGTGTTGGGAGTAACGCGGTGCAAAAGTAATTAATTACTGTAATGCATTGCTTTTTGCTGTAATGTGGTAATGTAAGGCATTACAGGGAAAGAAAATGGTAATATTTACTCGGTACAATTGTCAGTAACACGGTAATTACAACGCACTCTTAAACCCAGAATCAAGATGTGGGTTCCCTAAAAATTCAAATTGCGGGAAGCCTGAAAAAAGATCCAGTATCCACATATATGACGTCATTTATGGACTCAGCTTTGCGAGCATTCTATGAGCAGAGAGGACGCAGCGGTAAAGGCTCAAATCCTCCAGCTGCGTCCTGCGCACGGCCGCTGCTGTATTCACAAAACCGCTCCACCAAAACAAAATAATTAATTTGCGATCGTTTATATCCGCCCATATTCTCTGGTACTTCATGTAATTTTCAGCTGAGTTCATAATCTGTGCGCCGGTGATTTCAACTCATTGCTGCTGGAGCGCAGCGCGAAGCTTATTTATTTATTTATTTTGCGTTCGGTAGATCCCTTTGGCTGATTAGTTAGAAAGTAGGAAGTCTAGGAAACAGTTTTTCTGGAAGACGGAGAAAAGATGCAGCATGCAGGAAGGTTAGAGAGAGAAAGGGCCGGAAATTATTCACATAAAACCAAGAAAACAAAACAAAGTGCTTGAAAAGAAAAAAGTAGGTAGATTTATCCCCAATACACATGTTTACCAGTGAAAAGCAATAATATATAAGCATTTAATATTTATACATGTGATAGAATCAGATCACCCCAGAAGTCAGTCCCACATCCAGGGCCGTATCAAGGCATTTGGGGACCAAGGCAAATAGGCTTGGAGCCCCCACCACCTCACTCCCTGATCAGTTAATATAAGATGGCAGCGTGCTGAGAGTACAGATTGTTGTTGTTTTTATTTAATAAACAATCATTTTAAAGCACTGTTATTATATCTGACTGTTTTTAACAGCAATCCTAGCTCAGACACCACATCACCTTCCACACATATGTCATGAGTTCACTGAGCGTCACATGACCAGATTCATACTGAAGTTGTTTTGGTGAAAGTAACTTAAAGTAATGCAAAAGTAGTGTAATGCCTTACATTTTAAAATCAGTAATATTGTAATGTAATTAATTACTTTAAAATGAGGGTAACAAGTAATAAATAATGCATTACAGTTTTGAAGTAACTTGCCCAACACAGTCTGCCACAGATCGCTGCAATATCCGTCTCACGGTCTCCTCAGCAGCTCAGCGACAAAAAGGGATTTCATGCTTTTATGTTTTATTTTCGATGTGCGTGAGTTCATCTCCTCTCACGGATCACGGTCACGGTTTTCACAGTTCAGCTGATGGTCTAAAACAGCCGTTTCACTCTTTCTGCTATAAATTCGGTTTAACTTGATCTATTGAAAATAAAAATTATGTGCAGATTATTTTAAACATAAATTGAAACCGAAGTTCAGAGAGGCGGAGTCTTGCTGCTGCGGCATCCCGAAGGTGTGTTTTTACTGGCCGGTTGCTGACAGAAGTTGTAGGTTTTCATGCACACTTGAAGTCTATCAGAGGCTGATTTGAGTCGTGGGTTGGCTTAAAAAGCTGTCGCAGAGCCGGTCAGAGCGGACGGCCACAGATTTGCTAATCACTCTCATGTTCACCGTTTTTTTACACGATTCGGCTCCCGATGAGGGACTTGGCGAAGACGGCCGCAAACCGCACAATGTGATCCGGGCTTTAGACTCCCATGACTGATAACAGCTTTGCTCCATGTCTTAGCTAAAGGTAAAGGTGCGTGATTTAAGAATGGAGAAAGAATGACATCTTCTGGTCAAACTTGGGTACTGCAGCCTTTTTTTTTATGGAAAGTCACTCTCTCACTCCCGTTCCATGAGTCATGGCTTTTGCCGATCAGCACCAAAAGATTCTAGATGACGAGTGAAGATGAGTCATACACATTAGTAGATAAATACATTTCACTGTAATATCCAGTTACTGGTAACTAAAAAAAGTACCTAGAGTTTTTTGTTAGCGATGACTGTTTGCTTCTAATTCACTGTTAGCATTGTTAGCTCAACGTTAGCCTCTAGCCTGCTTTACCTGACATTAGAGTAAAGCAAACAGAAGCGGTGGCTTCTTAAACCGAAGTTATGTTTAGAAAAGACAGCTCGACTCCGTCCGTCCTTGTGAGCCTACTGGAGAGCCCTTGAAAGGACAGACGATGGCGTCGCGTGCGTGCGTCCCGACGCAGACGTATAAATCAGGCTTTAGAAGAGTTTTGTTTACTTCTCTCACCTAAAATCTAGAAGAGTTTTGTTTACTTCTCTCACCTAAAATCTAGAAGAGTTTTGTTTACTTCTCTCACCTAAAATCTAGAAGTTTTGTTTACTTCTCTCACCTAAAATCTAGAAGTTTTGTTTACTTCTCTCACCTAAAATCTAGAAGTTTTGTTTACTTCTCTCACCTAAAATCTAGAAGTTTTGTTTACTTCTCTCACCTAAAATCTAGAAGTTTTGTTTACTTCTCTCACCTAAAATCTAGAAGTTTTGTTTACTTCTCTCACCTAAAATCTAGAAGTTTTGTTTACTTCTCTCACCTAAAATCTAGAAGAGTTTTGTTTACTTCTCTCACCTAAAATCTAGAAGTTTTGTTTACTTCTCTCACCTAAAACCTAGAAGAGTTTTGTTTCTGAATTATGAAAAAATAGCAAAAAAGTGTGGACATTTTTTCAATGAGATGCTGATTTTAGTGGAAAATTAATGAAAAACAAACAAAAATAGAAGTAAAAACATTATTGGTACTTTTACGGTCATTCTGCTGTGGAAAACCTTCAGTGAAAACTCTGAAAAGCTGCTTAAAGCTGCAGGTTTTATTATTGTGGGCCGATCTGTATTACTGAAGCGATCAGAGCCGCTACAGAGTCATGCTGCGGTGACGTGAGAGGAAGTGTGAAGTAGTAAAACTTTTGCTGTTTGCTTCTTCATGTTCAATTCAAATTAAATAAATACAAGAAACACATGATAATAGGAATAATCACTGTATGTATGTGTAACAGTGATGTTGGGCTAAAAGGCAGAACACACGTTTAGTTTTAGTCTCATTACAGTGGAACGTCACGTTGTCCCACATCCGGCACGTTGGGATCCGGCCACCCTCGCTGGGGAGGTGCAACCTTCCTCCCAACACAACGGAGACGTTAGACTGGTTTGTGATTATTTCGCTGCAGAATTCTTATACAGCGTACCTTTAAGGCAGGAGACCTTTCTAGAACATCAGATAAGTAGAAGAACGTTTACCAGCTCATGTAAAAGCAGTTCAACAGTCTGGCCTAATCCCGTCTAGTTCAGTCTGGGACAGAACCAGACGGTTCTACTCTGCTCCTGTCAGACAGGTAGAGGAGGACCGGACCCATTTGTCCTCCTCCTGAAATAATCCGACCCGTTGGGAAGGCAGCACGCTGACCCTCAGCCCTGATGCTGTCAGTCAGCAGTACCTTGTCGTTTCTGGCTCCCTTGGTCAGATCAAAGGTGGCGTAGACTTCAGCGGTGCACTGCTGACTGAGGGGCGGCAGCTCGAAGGGGACTGGTTCAGCCAGACCATAACTGGCCTTCAGCTCCAGCTGGGGCGCCTCAGCCGGGACCTTATGGAAGTATCTGTGGGTTATGAGCAAAGAAACGATTACTAAAGTAGGAACTCTAGGTAAAGTAGGAAAACTCGGGTCATGATGAAACCGGGCCGTCCTGTTCGTGTCCCTGCTGCAGATCAGCAAAGTCTCCTCTTAACTGTTGAAACAGTCGACCTGAAAGAGGGTCCTGCTCTGATAACTTCAAAAACACCAGAATCTAAATGATCTGCTCAGACTGGAGACACCAGTTCTCTTCAGGTTTAGCTGTTGCTGGTTCTCCACAGAACAGACAAGCTTCGGACTTCAGAGCGACTCACATGAAGCCGTTCTCTCGCTGGCACTTCTCCAGGGTGTTTTTGATCAGGCCGCCCAGCTTGAGGAAGAACAGCTGCTCCGACGGTTTGGCCGTGGAGCCCGGGCCTTTGGTCTGACGATAGTCTTTACACAGCGCCTCGGCACGGGAGTAACCTAAACACACACATGGCAGTGCTGAAGAATAATCCTGTCACCTCCACGGGAAACTGCCTCCTACGCAGTTACGTACACTTCTCGGCTTCCTGCAGGGACCTTATAGCCTCTCCACACTTATCACTGGACAGCAGCGTCTGTCCATGGTAGCAGTACGCCTGCAGGGACAAGGAGAGGAGCGTTTACTCGTGCTGAAGACCACGCGTGTCCTGCTACAGCTGTGCTGCACAAACCTACATAAGCCATGTAGAAGTGCTGCTTCAGCTGGAGGTACTTCCTCCACTTGCTGCTGCACTCCGGCTCCAGAGTGTTCAGTGTGTGGTCTGCAGAGACGGACAGAGGGAGGGAACACCCTCAGCTGTGTTAGTGGGACTCAAACGGTGCCGTGTTGCTGTTCTGAGACTATGAATCACCGACCGGCTCTTAGATAGAAGTTTGCCGTCTCAAACGCCAGAGCTGCGATCAGTGAGGCGTTGTGCTTCAGTTCGATGGCTCTGGCAATCGTCACTGTGGAACAGCGCAGAGAGAAGGCTGGCAGTCACAAAAATAACTCGTCTTCCCTTTGGATTTAATACCTGCTGCTGACTGGCAGCCATCGGTGCAGACACAACATAAACACAGCAGCATGCGCTATAGCTCTAGGCGGTCTTTTCAGTTACCATGGCAACACAATACACCCAGAAATGCACTAACAACGCGTGAGGAATCCTCCTAAAACGAGCTCTTTGAAAGCTTCAACGCGCTAAAAGTTACAAACACACTTTGGAGCTCACTAGAGATTTGCTACGTCAGGTTCGTTATCGTTGCACGTAGCTCACCTGCAGGGTAACGGCGGTCCATCACCAGGACGCATCAGAAGCTTGCTTAAGCTGCTAGCATTAGCCAGATGTTCATGCTCTCCTGACTGTGTGTAAATCTACTTCCTGTCAACTAGATGGCGGAGTCTTTCTGACGGGAATACCACACGGGAGTTCCTGGAGCAACGGGCTTCCTGAGCTTTTAGGGCCGTCGTGGGAACGCTAACGTGCACAAATGAGGTTTTGTGATTTAAACCAGAGCGTCTGAAATCAGAGTTCACAGAAACATAAAAGAAGTGGCCGTCCTGACGCTCACAGACCAGAGTGCTGCCCTGCCCCTTTCAGGAGAATCTAGCTCTCTGATTGGCCACAGCTGCATCAAGCTGGAACTTTCCTCCTTAGTCTGTATTTGGTGGAGGTAAGACAGGTAGAGGTAATTATTGGTTACCTGAACCTGCCAGCTGATGGTTACATCACCAATTTCCCTTTAAATCAGAACCTTAGAGTTTGCATTGGTAAATATTCCTAAACAACGAGCCAGGGTGCATCCGAGTGGTTGATCAGCCTCGAGCCAGGACCTGTTCTTCACCAGCGTCGACAGTTTTTGTATAAATCTAGGCGGTTATGTTGACGGTGAAAACTTGAGTTACCTTCTTGAGCCTCAGCCTGACACTGGATGATGTAGGCGTCCATCACTCGGGGCTCCAGGTCTCGGCCCTTTTCAGCCGGAGTGATGAGGCGAGGAACGTGGACCTCCTGTGGAAACAGCCGGGTTAAGACGAGCCTGGAGCAGCACGCCACACACTCGTGTTTAATCAGACTTTATTAATCCTCTTCACCTTGAGAGCTTTGAATATTCCAGCAGCAACCTTCAAGCTCCTGTGAACATCTTTGGCTTCAGCCTCTGTTATGCTGTTCAAGAGGCAAACACAGCGGTCAGTAGTAACCTCCTCAGTAGTAAACACAGCACGCTCTAACGGGGACACGCGGGAGCACGTTCTGTGCTCCAGAATAAGAGAACGTTGGTGTTTCCAGGAACTCAGGCCTGATTCAGCGAGGTGTTTAACACACAAATGTTACATCACAGCTCAGAGTCCGACATCGCTCCTCTCCGCCTGCAACTCCAACTCCAGACCAGGCTCAGCAGGTATGGAACCAGTGCATCCTGCTGCCAGAATCAAACTGGCACTGGAGTTTATTTCACTCCCTTGTCCCATAAAAGTCAAAGAGTCATAAAAATATTTCTGTTACAGATTCAAGCACCTTCAAATCCACAAGAACCCTAAACACTTACTTTTCCTTCCCAGCGAGTCTCGAGGCAAACTTGGTGTTCCAGAGGGCAACGTTAAAGGCCATGGAGGCCAGCTCAAACAGCGCGTCCTGCTGGGCACTGGGACACACACACACACACACACACACACACACACACACACACACACACGCACTGAGCTAAAGCTATGATAACGGACCAGAGAAAGGTCACTCAGGCGTGTCTGTACCTCGGTACGTTTCCCTGTAAAGTGTCAGTCCATTTAAAGTTCTGGATGAACCTCATCTTGTTCTCCTGTGTGGTTCCATCCAGCGAGGAGATGAAGCCTGTTAGTTGGAACCAGTTTCACACAAGGTTAGAAAATCACGCGATGCTGTGTCGGACGGTAAAAGAAACGCAGAATTTAAACATGAAGCCAGCGTCGTTCTCCAGTTCCTACACTAAACGTGTCGTGTTGTTGGAGCGTGTTGTTGGAGCGTGTTGTTGGAGCGTGTTGTTGGAGCGTGTAGTTGGAGCGTGTTGTTGGAGCGTGTTGTTGGAGCGTGTTGTTGGAGCGTGTAGTTGGAGCGTGTTGTATGAGCGTGTAGTTGGAGCGTGTTGTTGGAGCGTGTTGTTGGAGCGTGTTGTTGGAGCGTGTAGTTGGAGCGTGTAGTTGGAGCGTGTTGTATGAGCGTGTAGTTGGAGCGTGTTGTTGGAGCGTGTTGTTGGAGCGTGTTGTATGAGCGTGTTGTTGGAGTGTGTTGTTGGAGCGTGTTGTTAGAGCGTGTTGTATGAGCGTGTTATTGGAGCGTGTTATTGGAGCGTGTAGTTGGAGCGTGTAGTTGGAGCATGTTATTGGAGCGTGTTGTTGGAGCGTGTTATTGGAGCGTGTAGTTGGAGCGTGTTGTTGGAGCGTGTTATTGGAGCGTGTTGTATGAGCGTGTTATTGGAGCGTGTAGTTGGAGCGTGTTGTTGGAGTGTGTTGTTGGAGCGTGTTGTTGGAGCGTGTTATATGAGCGTGTTATTGGAGCGTGTAGTTGGAGCGTGTTATTGGAGCGTGTAGTTGGAGGGTGTTATTGGAGCGTGTTGTTGGAGCGTGTTATTGGAGCGTGTTGTTGGAGCGTGTTGTTGGAGCGTGTTGTTGGAGCGTGTTGTTGGAGCGTGTAGTTGGAGCGTGTTGTTGGAGTGTGTTGTTGGAGCGTGTTGTTGGAGCGTGTTATTGGAGCGTGTTGTTGGAGCGTGTAGTTGGAGCGTGTAGTTGGAGCGTGTAGTTGGAGCGTGTAGTTGGAGCGTGTTGTTGGAGCGTGTAGTTGGAGCGTGTTGATGGAGCGTGTTGTTGGAGCGTGTAGTTGGAGCGTGTAGTTGGAGCGTGTTGTTGGAGCGTGTAGTTGGAGCGTGTTGATGGAGCGTGTTGCTGGAGCGTGTTGTTGGAGCGTGTAGTTGGAGCGTGTTGTTGGAGCGTGTAGTTGGAGCGTGTTGATGGAGCGTGTTGATGGAGCGTGTTGTTGGAGCGTGTAGTTGGAGCGTGTAGTTGGAGCGTGTTGATGGAGCGTGTTGATGGAGCGTGTTGTTGGAGCGTGTAGTTGGAGCGTGTAGTTGGAGCGTGTTGTTGGAGCGTGTAGTTGGAGCGTGTTGATGGAGCGTGTTGTTGGAGCGTGTAGTTGGAGCGTGTGGTTGGAGTGTGTGGTTGGAGCGTGTAGTTGGAGCGTGTTGATGGAGCGTGTTGTTGGAGCGTGTAGTTGGAGCGTGTTGTTGGAGCGTGTTGTTGGAGCGTGTAGTTGGAGCGTGTTGTTGGAGTGTGTAGTTGGAGCGTGTTATTGGAGCGTGTTGTTGGAGCGTGTTATTGGAGCGTGTAGTTGGAGCGTGTTGTTTGAGCGTGTTGTTGGAGCGTGTTGTTGGAGCGTGTAGTTGGAGCGTGTTGTTGGAGCGTGTAGTTGGAGCGTGTAGTTGGAGCGTGTTATTGGAGCGTGTTGTTGGAGCGTGTTATTGGAGCGTGTTGTTGGAGCGTGTTGTTGGAGCGTGTTGTTGGAGCGTGTTGTTGGAGCGTGTTGTTGGAGCGTGTAGTTGGAGCGTGTTGTTGGAGCGTGTTGTTGGAGCGTGTTGTTGGAGCGTGTAGTTGGAGCGTGTAGTTGGAGCGTGTTATTGGAGCGTGTTGTTGGAGCGTGTTGTTGGAGCGTGTTGTTGGAGCGTGTAGTTGGAGCGTGTTATTGGAGCGTGTTGTTGGAGCGTGTTGTTGGAGCGTGTAGTTGGAGCGTGTTGTTGGAGCGTGTTGTTGGAGCGTGTTGTTGGAGCGTGTTGTTGGAGCGTGTTGTTGGAGCGTGTTGTTGGAGTGTGTTGTTGGAGCGTGTTGTTGGAGCGTGTTGTTGGAGCGTGTAGTTGGAGCGTGTAGTTGGAGCGTGTAGTTGGAGCGTGTTGTTGGAGCGTGTTATTGGAGCGTGTTGTTGGAGCGTGTTGTTGGAGCGTGTTGTTGGAGCGTGTAGTTGGAGCGTGTTGTTGGAGCGTGTAGTTGGAGCGTGTTATTGGAGCGTGTTATTGGAGCGTGTTATTGGAGCGTGTTGTTGGAGCGTTTTATTGGAGCGTGTTTGAGCGTGTTGTTGGAGCGTGTTGTTGGAGCGTGTTGTTGGAGCGTGTTGTTGGAGCGTGTAGTTGGAGCGTGTAGTTGGAGCGTGTTGTTGGAGCGTGTAGTTGGAGCGTGTAGTTGGAGCGTGTTGTTGGAGCGTGTTGTTGGAGCGTGTTATTGGAGCGTGTTGTTGGAGCGTGTTGTTGGAGCGTGTTGTTGGAGCGTGTTGTTGGAGCGTGTAGTTGGAGCGTGTTGTTGGAGCGTGTTGTTGGAGCGTGTAGTTGGAGCGTGTTGTTGGAGCGTGTTGTTGGAGCGTGTTGTTGGAGCGTGTAGTTGGAGCGTGTTGTTGGAGCGTGTTGTTGGAGCGTGTTATTGGAGCGTGTTGTTGGAGCATGTTGTTGGAGCGTGTTGTTGGAGCGTGTAGTTGGAGCGTGTTATTGGAGCGTGTTATTGGAGCGTGTTGTTGGAGCGTGTTATTGGAGCGTGTAGTTGGAGCGTGTTGTTGGAGCGTGTTGTTTGAGCGTGTTGTTGGAGCGTGTTGTTGGAGCGTGTTGTTTTAGCGTGTAGTTGGAGCGTGTAGTTGGAGCGTGTAGTTGGAGCGTGTTGTTGGAGCAAGTAGTTGGAGCGTGTAGTTGGAGCGTGTTGTTGGAGCGTGTTGTTGGAGCGTGTAGTTGGAGCGTGTAGTTGGAGCGTGTTGTATGAGCGTGTTGTATGAGCGTGTAGTTGGAGCGTGTTGTTGGAGCGTGTTGTTGGAGCGTGTTGTTGGAGCGTGTTGTATGAGCGTGTTGTTGGAGTGTGTTGTTGGAGCGTGTTGTTGGAGCGTGTTGTATGAGCGTGTTATTGGAGCGTGTTATTGGAGCGTGTTATTGGAGCGTGTAGTTGGAGCATGTTATTGGAGCGTGTTGTTGGAGCGTGTTATTGGAGCGTGTAGTTGGAGCGTGTTGTTGGAGCGTGTTGTTGGAGCGTGTTATTGGAGCGTGTTGTATGAGCGTGTTATTGGAGCGTGTAGTTGGAGCGTGTTGTTGGAGTGTGTTGTTGGAGCGTGTTGTTGGAGCGTGTTATATGAGCGTGTAGTTGGAGCGTGTTATTGGAGCGTGTAGTTGGAGGGTGTTATTGGAGCGTGTTGTTGGAGCGTGTTATTGGAGCGTGTTGTTGGAGCGTGTTGTTGGAGCGTGTTGTTGGAGCGTGTAGTTGGAGTGTGTTGGTGGAGCGTGTTGTTGGAGCGTGTTGTTGGAGCGTGTTATTGGAGCGTGTTGTTGGAGCGTGTAGTTGGAGCGTGTAGTTGGAGCGTGTAGTTGGAGCGTGTAGTTGGAGCGTGTTGTTGGAGCGTGTAGTTGGAGCGTGTTGATGGAGCGTGTTGTTGGAGCGTGTTGTTGGAGCGTGTAGTTGGAGCGTGTTATTGGAGCGTGTTATTGGAGCGTGTTGTTGGAGCGTGTTATTGGAGCGTGTAGTTGGAGCGTGTTGTTTGAGCGTGTTATTGGAGCGTGTTGTTTGAGCGTGTTATTGGAGCGTGTAGTTGGAGCGTGTTGTTTGAGCGTGTTATTGGAGCGTGTTGTTGGAGCGTGTTATTGGAGCGTGTAGTTGGAGCGTGTTGTTGGAGCGTGTAGTTGGAGCGTGTAGTTGGAGCGTGTTATTGGAGCGTGTTGTTGGAGCGTGTTGTTGGAGCGTGTTATTGGAGCGTGTTGTTGGAGCATGTTGTTGGAGCGTGTTGTTGGAGCGTGTTGTTGGAGCGTGTTGTTGGAGCGTGTAGTTGGAGCGTGTTGTTGGAGCGTGTTGTTGGAGCGTGTTGTTGTAGCGTGTAGTTGGAGCGTGTAGTTGGAGCGTGTTATTGGAGCGTGTTATTGGAGCGTGTTGTTGGAGCGTGTTGTTGGAGCGTGTTGTTGGAGCGTGTTGTTGTAGCGTGTAGTTGGAGCGTGTAGTTGGAGCGTGTTATTGGAGCGTGTTATTGGAGCGTGTTGTTGGAGCGTGTTGTTGGAGCGTGTTATTGGAGCGTGTTGTTGGAGCGTGTTGTTGGAGCGTGTTGTTGGAGCGTGTAGTTGGAGCGTGTTGTTGGAGCGTGTTGTTGGAGCGTGTAGTTGGAGCGTGTTGTTGGAGCGTGTTGTTGGAGCGTGTTGTTGGAGCGTGTAGTTGGAGCGTGTAGTTGGAGCGTGTTGTTGGAGCGTGTTATTGGAGCGTGTTGTTGGAGCGTGTTGTTGGAGCGTGTAGTTGGAGCGTGTTATTGGAGCGTGTTATTGGAGCGTGTTGTTGGAGCGTGTTATTGGAGCGTGTAGTTGGAGCGTGTTGTTGGAGCGTGTTGTTTGAGCGTGTTGTTGGAGCGTGTTGTTGGAGCGTGTTGTTGGAGCGTGTTGTTGGAGCGTGTAGTTGGAGCGTGTAGTTGGAGCGTGTTGTTTGAGCGTGTTGTTGGAGCGTGTTGTTGGAGCGTGTTGTTGGAGCGTGTTGTTGGCGCGCGTAGTTGGAGCGTGTTGTTGGAGCGTGTTATTGGAGCGTGTAGTTGGGGCGTGTTGTTGGAGCGTGTAGTTGGAGCGTGTTATTGGAGCGTGTTGTTGGAGCGTGTTGTTGGAGCGTGTTGTTGGAGCGTGTTGTTGGAGCGTGTTGTTGGAGCGTGTTATTGGAGCGTGTTGTTGGAGCGTGTTGTTGGAGCGTGTAGTTGGAGCGTGTAGTTGGAGCGTGTTGTTTGAGCGTGTTGTTGGAGCGTGTTGTTGGAGCGTGTTGTTGGCGCGCGTAGTTGGAGCGTGTTGTTGGAGCGTGTTGTTGGCGCGCGTAGTTGGAGCGTGTTGTTGGAGCGTGTTATTGGAGCGTGTAGTTGGAGCGTGTGGTTGGAGCGTGTTGATGGAGCGTGTAGTTGGAGCGTGTTGTTGGAGCGTGTAGTTGGAGCGTGTTGTTGCTGGTGAAACCCTGATGGGTGAGGACGCTGGGTTTTCAGCAGGGAAACGGACTCACATTGCAGCAGAGAAAAGTAAGCATCCGTAGCGTTCTTCATGATCTCTGGACTGCAGGTGACATCGGTGAACACGTCCAGCAGCCTCGCTCGGGTTGTCCTCAGGTCACTAACACAACACACAAACTGCGATGAGGTTTCTGATCTGTGAGAGGGTCAGTTTTGGTGTACACCGGGAGCGGTCTGTAGTTACTAAAGAAACACAAATGACATTTGGTGGGAGCCCACCATCACCTCCATCATAAAAAAGGCCCAGCAGAGGACGAACTTCCTGAGGCAGCTGAAGAAACTCAACCTATCAGAACAGTCGATGAGGCAGTTCTACACCGCAGTCATCGAGTCCATCCTCACCTCTTCAGTCACCGTGTGGTACGCTGGAGACACCATCAGGGACATGAAGAGACAGCAGCGTGTCGTACGCTCTGTCGAGAAGGTCACTGGCTGCAAACTCCCTTCCATACAGGACCTGTACACCTCCAGGACATTCAGGCGTGCAGGTCGGATCACCGCTGACCCGTATCACCCTGGACACGGTCTCTGTGACTTTCTCCCATCTGGCAGGAGGCTCAGATCCATTCAGACCAGAACCTCTCACCACAAAACCAGTTTCTTCCCCTCTGCTGTTGAACTCCTGAACAACAATCATAGACCTGCCCACTCCAGCTGCTTGGTTCCAGTCACATGACCCAGTGTTGTTTGTACCTGAACTGATCCGTTCTGATTACAGTAGCCGTTTCTCTAAGTGTTATTATTATTATTTATCATGATTACATTCTTACTATTTATCTCTGATTTTTATCTTCCTTTTCGGCACCGCAGCATTTTCCTACTGACAATATTCCTTCTGAGTCGGATTCAGATCGGATTTGATCTGCAGAGCCGGTTATTAAAGACCAAGTTCACTAGCTTGTTTCATTTGCACGTTTGCAGCCGTCTCCAGTAAAAACTATGCGAGTCCATCTCTAGGGAAAAAAAGCTCTGGTGCTCCTGTTTCAGGAATTAAGCCAGAGCAGAGGGGAGGTGTCTCTCCTCTGATTGGCTAACAGCAACGTGACTCTTCCACTGACTCCGTTTGCTCTGTGACGTTGACGTTTCATCTTAGGGACTCCCCCCCCCCCCCCCCCTCCCTCATTGCTATCAGAAAAATAAGTAGATTTAAGTGTTGCTCGCTCTTTAAAAGACGCGTTGGTTGGGACTGAATGAGTGAGGGCGAGGAGCTGCAGCTGTTGGACCATTTTAATGAACCACTGTTAAGGGCAAAATGTCTTTCTGTCTGGTGCTTTTATTGCTGCACAGATGGTCCAATAGTAAGAGTTTAGCTTGCCTCGACTTTGTAAAGCATCTTTAAAGCTGCCAGTGTGCAGATGAATAAATAAGCTCTGCCTGTTGGCAGCAGCTGAGTTCAGAGTCCATCCCTGAAAAATGTCTGTGTCAGGAAGTTTTTGTCTTTCTACATAAGAGAAGAAGCAAACTGTGCTTAAATGCATTTATTTTTATTAATGTGTTTTTTTTATTAACTCATGATATTTAACGTGTTAAATTCCCACCTGGGCTAAGTCAAACTCATCTTCCATTCAGAACTCGGAGATGACTTCATCCAAAAATAAATTCCATGCTCTCATCAGTGTTTCGCTGTGTGAGAAGCGAAACACATGTTCTCCGGTTGCAGCTAACGAAAGTCCCATGTGTGTTTGTTTTTCCTGATCAGACTACCAAGGACTAAATCTGCTCTACAACATCTTCAGTCTAACATCTTGTTGAAGATCCAGGTGGACCACAAAACTCATACAAATGTCCACGGAGTGAAAATTGTGCAGGTCATCAAACATCAGGATGTACACGTAACCAGTGACCTCTGACTACATCACACCTGGTGAAGAAGACCTACAGAGGCTAGTCTTCCCGACAATATGGAAGTGGGCCGGACTTTGACGCTCGTCAGACAACACAAAGCAACTGACACACGTGATTGCTCAGAGGACTGTGGGAACAGGACTCCCAGACTTGTAGATCACTTCAAACAGAAAGCCAGAGACTAAACACACCTGAGTCACCACCTTCAGAGTCTGATAGATCAAAAACTAAGGAACAACTCCGTGAGGCCCTTACACACCACTTCCTCTATAATGCACGTGCAAATAAATCCTGGAGTGATTTCCTATTATGACTAAACAGTGGTTAAATGCATTGCTGCTGTATTGTGTTTGCAACTCTTCTTGAACTCATTCTGTTGGTGTTTACGTCACTTCTGTATGCTGCTGCTAGTTTCCAGTCACCAAGCAATAACACATCTTCTCTGCATGAACAGACAGCAGGTGCTAGCAGCTCGGGCAGGTCCAGCAGGGACCAGAGCAGAACTGATCACACATACTTGCAGATCTTGTTGGCAGCGGGACTTCCGGCCACTCCGTAGAAATTAAAGGACACCGGAGCTGTCGCCTTCAGCGGGTTTCTATGAAACCAATGCGCCATGGCGTGGATTTGGACACACCTGCAGCAGGAAGATTAGGTTCACCAACACGTCTCAACAATAAAACCACTAACAAGTAGCTACTGGAGCCGATACGCGTCCAGATTCAAGTTATTTTGGTAATATTAGCCATAATCCAAGCTAGTAGTCACGTGACAGCCGGGGTGAGTTTAATGCCAAAGTCCAACGGAACAATCTCACTACATAAATCCACATACTAACTCCTTCTGCCCCTTACACACCACTCACAGTAGGTTTATGTCAAGTATAACATTTTAATGTAACAATGATAAAGACAAGAGTCTTATTACGTCAACTACAGACACAAAGCTAGCAGCTAACACTGTCCTGCTACATCAGCAACCGTAAACGGGATTAATTTGAACAAGAAGAGGAATTATTTTCACTATTAATATAAGCATTCTGTTGTTTAAATTAACTTAAACTTGACCTGGTTAACTGTTGGCGGGCGCTGCAGATTTGATGTTTGTTAGTCTGGAAAGTCCGACAACAAACTTCCGGAAATAAACACGTAGTAGCCGTTGACCAATGACAGGCCAGCGTTAGGTCACGTGACAAACAAACGACACATCTGTGTGCTTTTTGGCTCTTCTGCTCGACTGAAGGCTTTTAGAGAGCTTGCAGCAGCCTCGGGGCTTCTAAAGCCTTCGGAATTACTTACCACTCATGTAAATGAACTGAAAATAATCTGTTTTTACATTTAATTAATGATGAATATCTTTGAATGATATGAACACTAATCTACTTAAACATTACACCTTTATCAAACTCATCATCTCTATCCTAAAATTTATTTCTGTCAGAATAAATTTCCATATTTTGCTGATTTTGTGTCATTCATGTGCCACATTTGCTCAACCACACCTCAGCATCAGGATGCAACAACCAGCATTCATTCAGTCCCCGTGATGCAGCACAGTCCAACGGTATTCGTTTTAGCCATTTTCGTCATTCTGTATATAAACTTTGGGGGGGAACTGGAGAATGGTGAACACCTTTCACACTGATATTTGACCCCACTCACCCCGACCATTACATCACCCTTCTCAGTTCATTGAGAAGTTATGAGAAAATGAAAACACAAAAGGAGAATTGTGTGATGAACAGAACCAGGGCAGCTTCAGTTTGTCAATCTGGTTTAAATGAAGTTCTGCATGTTCATTTCTAAGGTTTTAATAATTCATAGATGCACTATAAACGTCAAACTGTTTATTGGTTATTTTACAGAAACAATGAAAGTTTAACATTTTCCCGTGTGGCATAACAGCGAACAATCAAAGGGAAAAAAATGTTTTTTCATTCTGAACCAAAATGTTCTAAATAGTTGAATCCAAAAAATGTGCTTTTAACCACAAACAAACTGGAATTTTATGATTATTTTCTTTTTGGAGTCTCAACAATGCACATCAGGTTAAACGTTTAAGGTTAGAAGAACAATCATAAGGACATAAAACAACCATAATCAAAAGAAAATGTCCTAAATTCAGGACCCATAATCATTAGATTATTATGCAAGTACTTAGTTGGGAACACAATCAGTGCACGTTTAGGAGGTCCCAACGACGGGTACCAAAGAGGCACTTCTGGTCAGCTTTAAGGCAAATCACTAGATCTTTATTCCTTAAATTAAATCCCAGCATAGTTCATTCACTCCTCAGTCAGATGTAGCATCCAAGAGAGCGTTTCCATAAACATTAAAGGTGCAAATACAGAAAAGCAGCAGCTTCACCTGATGTTTCAGAACAAGGCTCAGTTCCAAAAGGTCAGTTCTGATGTCCGAGAGAGCACGCACGCACACACACACACACACACACACACACACACACACACACACACACACACACACACACACACACACACACACACACACACACACACACACACACACACACACACACACACACACACACACACACACACACACACACACACACACACACACACACACACACACACACACACACACACACACGTCAAAAATCCCTTTGGTCCAAAACAGAAAGTTAAACTTACATTTGGTAATTATGACAGTAAAAGAAGGTTTTTAAAAATCATACCAAGAACAAACGCAATTAAATTAGAATCATACATCCTGTATTTTAAGTTTTTCATTTAAAATCATATCAAATATCAGAAAGCCACAACCGTCTTCACCAAACCCAGCAGAACTGCCCAGTGTCGTTTTTAGGGTTACAACTAAAACCTGCAATAAAGTCGCCTCACGACGTCCCTCGTCAGTAAATCTTTAATCTAATCTCATCACAATAATAATAATAATCACCCTGGCCCAAACAAACCCAGTCACATGAAATTAAACAGGAAGTCCAACCAGAAAAACAAAAGTGTTTTTGGCACCAGAGCAGCTTTGGTGAACGAAACGTTTAAACCCAAACTAAAACTGTACCGCCTACAAAACCCTGAATCTTTATGGCACGTTTGCAGACAACTAATTACCATTTTCTCCCAAAAACAGATGGTTCACAAACGTTTGGAATAGTTGATGCATAGAGCGTGGTCTCGAATGTCCCCCCAGCCACCGTTCTTCATATGTGCCCTGTGCTCCACTAGCTCTGACCCGCTCAGGACCAGAGACGGGGGAAACAGAACCTCCTTCGCCATCCGGAGGCTCTCCTCCACCCTCTTAAAGGCCCATTCTGGTCTGCACTTGTCCTTCTGATGAAGGCCACAGTCTCCCGTGTGCAGGACCCTGGAGCCCTGGGCCACCAAAACCTTAAGAGGCTTGGAGATGCAGGTTCCAGAGAGGTGCTGCACAGTCCAGTCCCAGTTGTAGTCATCGTAGGTGCAGAAGTCATTGCTGCAGCCCATCAGCTTGTAGTACACCTCCCTGGAGATGGCCATACCGATGTTGTGTTTGGTGGACAACCAGCCGGAGGTCAACACTTTGTTGGACATGTTGCTAAAATCACTCAGGCCATTGTGGTTCCCCAAAGCTAGCATGTCACAGTCCGAGCAGCTGGTCTTTTTGAACTCTAGCATTAGTTTATAAAAATGGAAGAAGTCTGGTAGGATGTAGTTGTCCTCCTCAAGGAAGATGGCAAAGCCGCTGTAGCCCTGCATGGCCTGCACCCGCTCCCACACGAAGTGCAGCTTCCACCACCAGTGGTGTTTGGTCTGAGTGATGAACGCCTCCCTGTAATGCCCATAGGAGTCGGGGTGCTCCGCGTTGAGGCACCCGCTTCTCACAGCATCTTCTTTGGGAAGGTCTCGAGGGCAGTCTCTCGGATCCTGCCCAGGAAACTCTTTGGGATAGAGCTGCGTGCTGAAAGGGAAGTAAATCTGCAGAACTTTGCAGAAACGTATTCCCCGCACGATTGCGTTCATTTCCTCTGAAACGTAGTCATGGCTGAAGATGAGGAGGAAGCTGTGGACCTCAGCAGCTCTCTCCAGGGACTTGACGAGCAGCCGGAGGTAGTCGGGCCTGTTGTGAACCTGCACGACCAGCACCAGCCGAGGCTCTCCTGGAAACGTGTCTGCATTTTGAACCACTTGTTTGTAATTGGCGCTGTAAACGGACTGAGACAAGTCTGACGAGGAGCCAAAGCTGAACTTTAAGCTGTCCTCTGACTGCGTGTCCTGGTTTCTGTCTGCGACGTCAACAGCGTCGTTCTCAGAAGCCAGCAGCACGCGCGTGGAGATCAGCAGAGAGGCGACAACCAACAGAACCGCCAGCAGCGCCAGCAGGTTCCTCCTGAGCAGCCGGAGCCTCATGGCTCCTCCGCCGACAGCAGACCCAACCAGGAGTCAACAATTACGGGTTTCATTCACCTCCTGGCGCGCGCCCGCATCCTACACCCGCTTTGATAGAGGGCTTCTTCGCGACTCAACTTCAAAAGAAGTCGCGTGACGTTCCCCGCACACGGACTCTCACGGTCGCGTTTCCTCCCGCACGCAGGACGACGCAGACATTTCCCACACGGCCGCGAGTTCCCGGCGCCTGAGGAGAGAAAAGCAAAGTTAAGGAAAAGTTCTCAGCAGAGAGTCCGAGTTCGTGAGGCAGACTCACCCGAGCGGAGGGCTGTCGCGACCAGGAAGAGGACGACACAACTCTGATACAACTTAATGACTGCTGACGTGTACTAGCCAGCCAACGGGGAGAGAGCGCGAGCCGCTCTCCACCAATCAGCGTCCTACCCGAGGGAACCGGAAGCACCCACCGAAACGCGATGCCGAGACCTGCTTTGAATTTACAACACATTTTAGACAAAGTTAGGAGCTAAACCCCACGTAAAGGGACGCGCGTTTGTGTGAAATGACCTAAAGCAGGTCTGACTGGTTCAGCCACCAGGTGCTGCGCCTGAAACCATAACAGGGTCACCTGATACCGCTGATGACATGGGTCACCTCTGCAACAGGTGGAACTAGACACGAGACCTAGATATGCAGTCCTTAAGTAGGACAGTGTCCTGTTGAGATTTGTCGAAGCTTCTCAGCCCTACAGGGTGATGCAGTGGTTGCCTGAATGGAAGGTGCTGTCAGTGGCGTAGGTAGCAAACTGCAGCCTGAGGCGAACACAGACACGGGGCCCCTTATACTTAATTTTCGATAATTTTATAGTGATGGGATTTATGGCTTTTTCATGGGAGCCGTTCATTAGTCGGTCGACCGGCTCCTTTGAACGAGGTGAAGCCGGGGGGGGGGGGGGGCATCGAGCCACCTGGGCGCATGGGGTTGGTTAGCGTTTCTCCCGAGTTTCGAACCTGCAACCTTTGTGCTGCGAGGCAACAGTCCTAACCACTGCGCAAACCATCATAAGATCCCCCTGACACCAAACCCAACGCCCCAAAACTTTGGTTAGAGCAAAATTTAGCCTGACTGGATCCAACTCTCACCAAAAGCACAGGTCCAACCTACTCCCGGCTACGTAGACCAGACTCACACGTCTTTGGTACGGAGACAGGACGGCCCTTGGCAACGACTCTGACGGTACTCTTGGCCCTCTTGCATCATTCATCAATCCTCCGTTAAAAGCCTCATTTTTGACCCCTCCCTTAAATTTGACAAACAAATGAGTTCAGTTGTCCAAACAAGTTTCTTTCAGCTCTTATTCGAAGTAAAGACGTGCAACTCCATAAACGAGGCATCAGTCCTCCCTCAGCGCTCACAGGCCTTTAGGAATGCTGCAGCTCTTCTCCTAACAGGAATCCCAAACACTACACCGCTGCTGGCTTCAACACACCTGATTTCAATCAGCAGGTGATTGATCAACAGGCTTCTGCGAAGCCTGATGCGCTGCTGCACAGGTGAATCAACCAAGTGTGTTGGAGCAGAGAAACCACTAAGACATGCTGGAGAACTCGGCACAGATCACCCTGTGGAGACCTCCGTTTGGGAACCTCTGTAAGAGCACGATTGCAACCCATAACTTCACTGGAACAATAAAGAAACCAGTAGACTAGAAAATATCTGTAAAATATGGAGATGCTTGAATGGAAATTGGACTTTAATGTTGTGCAATAATATTACTTTAGTATTACACTATTAATAATGAAAATGCAACACTTTTAGTTCCTCAGATGAATAAAAATGCTAATATTTTAGATCCTCCTTCAACCCTCTCCTGTGTTTTGTCCTTGTCTCCCTCTGCAGGAGAGTCCGGGACTTCCCGTGAGCCTTGGGGGATTCTGGGGATTTTCCACTGATCAACCACACCTCTGTCAACCTGCTTCAAAACACTGCTGCTCAAAGGTGCAGCATGAGAGGCTTTTCCAGATAGCTTGAAATGCTTTCCACTTACTGATGAAACGAATGAATTAAAGGTTTTGTCAAAAATTCATGATTTTATTCCCTCTGTACAGTCACGGTGTAATGTCCAGAAAGGGTCAACTTTGACCTACATAGTGACCTACATAGTGACCTACATAGTGACCAATCATCTACAGAAATAAGTGCACTATCTAGGTGGATTTTCTATTCTATCTTCTAACACCCAGAAGATTCTGCAGCGCTCGACAGTCCATGAAGGCAAGATCGTCAAACTAGGTCTCCATGCAAAGGCTGTCCTCTTACTGCTGGATTCCACACTATGAAGGAAAAGTGAACTTTTACAACTCATAAGTTAAATAATCATATGGTTGAATGAACCGGGTGTTATATGAAATGTTTGAATAATCTGTGCCTAATTCAGTCAAGTTGAAATTAATATTGTTCTTACAATGATCTATTTATATCTTATGATCACTACAGTTTTATATAACAAGTGAGTCATTATCTACACTCATACACAAAGTTCATTAGATGCAAATTAAGGTTACGTCATCTCACATAAAGTTTAGAGGTTCTTTATCCACAGAACAAGAACAGCTTGCATCAAATTCTGATTCGCAGAAACGATAACAAGCGGAAAATTAAAACTAGAGTGACTTCCCGAGTTATTCAGTTTTAATAATCCACTTGTTGTGTGTGTGTGTGTGTGTGTGTGTGTGTGTGTGTGTGTGTGTGTGTGTGTGTCTGGAAGTACTGACTCGTTCATGGGGCTTCTCCAGACTGTTGGTGACTCTAAGCTGCTGTGATTTTGAAGTTATGAATTAAAGCTTCTTTCAGGAGTGTTTCTCTTATCCGAGGGCACCATCTAGTGGCTGACAAGCAAATCACACTCCTTCTGTTTTTTTAAGATGGCGACTTCACGTTTCTTCTTATAAACGTGCTTCTGTAGCCGACAAACAGCTAAAACATGTTGTTTTATGAGTATTATTCTCATGTCGTGCTGTGTTCTCATATATTTATATTTTAGAGACTTTCTTGTCTGTGTAAAGTTCATCAACTCTGCTTCAGCCGAGGTATTCCTTAAATTTGAAGCAGGTAAGCGGTAGTCTAACGCTATTGGTTAGTTCTGATTGGCGCTGAGTTTTCTATTGCACGGAGCTCTGCGGGGCAGGGGCGTGCTTAGCAAAAAACAAAACAAAAATAAAAATAAAAGACGTATTGTTTATATTATATCACAGTACATGATAAGATAATCACTTTTACGGATTCCTGACAAATCATACATAATTTCTGAAAGGGGAAATCTCCGGAAAGCGTCTTTAACCAAGATAAGCTAGAAACAGCCGTGTATTTCACGTTAAAAACACCACATTACATTAGCTAGCATGCTAGACTGCTCCATGGTGAAGTAGGAGAGTTATGTTTGGAGTTAAGGTAGAAAAGATGGAAACAACGGGTCAAAAACATAAAGCTGTATGTTTTTATATTTGTTAGATCGTATCCTTTGCTTCTGGTGTTTCACCATTTTCTGCAACCATCAGATGTGTGACTCTGGGGGGAGCCTGAGGAAGGGGATTGGACCTGTTTAGCTTGCTTGAGTGGCTTTCTCCAAGACGGTACACCTCACCTTTAAATACCAGCCCTTGAGTCTGCTAACCCTCCACTATAATGAAAGGAATTGTTTTCATTGGTGTATTCTTGCTGTTGAAACTAAAGGGTTAAAAATCACATTTGCATCTTCACTGTCAGTGCAGCTGCAGCAGGTACAAACGTTCTCAAACAGCAGCTGTGTATACTAAACAAGTATTTGTGCAGGTGCAGTTTTTCAAAATGTTAACGTTCAAGCAGTTGCCAAATGCCGTCAGCCCTGGAGATTGGTTTGTTGCGATCAATTTCATGAATGTATATTTTAATGTGGGGATTCATCACAGGCAGTTCCTGCGCTTTGTGTTTGAAGGGAAAGCCGATGAGTAATTGGTTCTCCTGCTCGCATTAGCCCTAGCTGCCTGCACCTTTTCCAAATGTGTGGAAATTGTGTTAACACCTCTCAAAGAGAGGGGTATCCGCATTCTTGCCTACTTGGATGATTGGGCTCTGGTAGCAAGTTCTCAGGTGCATGCGGAGGCTCACTTTTCCAAGGTTCTTTCTCATGTGTGAGCCCTGGGCTTTCTCTGTAAATTACAAGAAGGGCTCCCTAGATCCGAGCCAGAGGGTTTCCTTCCTCGGACTAGAAATATGCTCTCAGTCGGCTAGAGTGTGCTTGCAGCAACGTGACCCGCTTCCAACTGGGAGCCAATCCAACACTCCTCACATCTTTAGAGCCCTTGGAAAAATGGCTTCCACTATAGCCATGGTGCCTCTTGGTTGGTAATAGGTGGGGTGCAGCAATTCAAGAATTGTATAGGCTCTCCCTCGTGTCATCTTCACCGGAAGTTGACCATTCCCTGGACCTGCATGTTGGCTCTTCTCCCGTGGAGAGAACCAGGTTGCTCCAGCAGGGTTCTCCAATTGAGAGAGTGTCCAAGCGTGTGGTGGTGCCCACAGACGCTTCCCTAAAAGGCTGGGGGGGGGGCTGCTCTCCAGGGATGGTCCCCTGGCAAGGTAATGGAGGCTTCACCCAGTTGTGGTGTCCCAGACCTGGACAAGGTTTGGTAGGACGGTGGTGGATCTGTTAGCGTCACGCACAAACACACCCCGTTCTTTGTTCTTCTCCTTGACAGGCTAAGCTGCTTCAGTGGGGACAGACACACTGGGCCCAACATTTTCCTCTATGTCTTTTTTCCAGTGGAGCTGATTTCAGCCGTGCTGGAGAGGGTACACAGGATGAGCATGTCTCTGATTTTGGTGGCTATTCAGTGGCCGTCAGGATCTTGGTATCCAGAAGTAATTGATCTGGAGGTGCTGCTCCCTCATCCACACTTGTGGGAACTGCAGGCCTGCAGGTCTTCCCCTGGCTGTGGTGAATACCTTTCAGAGCTCGCACCACTAAGGGTCTATATGCCTATAACTGGAACGTATTTGGGAGTTGTGTTAGAGTAGGTCCGTGGTTCCTTTGCAGTACTCCACTGTGGACATTTTATCTTTTCTACAGGAACTACTGGACAAGGGTTCATCCTTCTCCATACTGAAGGTCTATCTGGCGGCCGTTTCTGCTTGCCATGAGCATTTTAACAGGGTTTCCATGTGGGCTTTCTAATTCTTGAAGGGAATTCGTAAGGTGAGGTTGTTGTTAGACTTTCTGTCCAGAAGGGACAGAAAGGGACCTCATTTTGGTTCTAGAGGTCCACTGTGGTCTTCCGTTTGAGCCAGATGAGTCGGTCAACATGAGGTTCCTGTCTTATAAGACAGCCCTGCTCTTAGCCCTGGCATGGGCTAAGTCAGGTCTAGGGTTAGTCTGTGTCCAAACGCTGCATATATGCCCAAGGTCATCCAGCTGACCTACAGTTCTTTGATCATAGAGCTTTCGGCTTTTCAATCATGCTTGTTTTGCCTCCCAAGAGCAGAGGAGGTTGCATTGTCTGTGCCCGGTTCGTGCTCTACAGGCTTTTGTGGACTCAGATTTTCCAACTGTCAGACCAGCGGTTTGTGTTTCGCCAAACCCTCCAGCTTTGTTTCCCTGTGTTACAGGGTTAATGTCTCTCAGCAGGCCCAAAAGGTCAGAGGTCTACTAGAGGTTTTGCTACTTCAAGCCATGTGAAGCCATGTGATCAAATGATCTCACGCAGTGAGGTGGTGTATATGGCAAAGAGAAGAGGTCCTAGTACAGAGCCCTGGAGGACTCCAGTGGCAAGATGGTGAACAGCAGAAGATTGTCCAAGCCAAGATACACTGAATGATCATCCTGTCAGGTACAATTCAAACCAGGAGAGTGCTCTCCCTGTGATGCCCATGCTAGAGTGTGGACAAAAGGAAGCCATGGTTGATGGTGTCAAACGCAGCCGATGAGTCGAGCAGGATAAGCACTGAGGATGTGGCAGTCGCTCTAGCTTCTTTTTAAGGCTTCCGTCACCGCTGACAGAGCCGTTTTAGTGGAGTGGCCATTTTTGAACCCAGATCTGTAACGGTCAAGCATGCAGTTTTGTGAGAGGTGTTCTGTGATCTGCTTTAAGGCCCCCTTTCGATAATTTTAGACAGAAACAGGAGGAGAGAGATAGGTCGGTAGTTCTCCAGTTGATAAGGAGGAAGGGATGGGTTTTTTTAGCAGCTGTTTAACCTGAGCATGCTTGAGAGAGGTGGGAAATGTACCGGATGTCAGTGAAGCGTTGATCACATGTATGGCTGCTGCGGCTACTGTAGGAGCAATAAATTGGAGCAGCTTAGTCGGAATGGGGCCGCGGGGAAATGTAGTAGGGCGGCTAGACGTGAGAAGTTTGGACACACAGTTGTCAGTGAGAGGGGTAAATGAAGAAAGTGATGCAGTAGGGTTTCTGATGGTTGGTCTGGCCCCTAGTGTAGAGGAAACGCCCCCAGAGACTCAGCCAGGAAATCCTTCAGAATTCCTTCATGGAAAATTAGGCACAAGTACACACACAGCTCTTGGAACATGACAGCTTTCTTTGTGGGTTGGATTCACCCTTTTTTCATCAAAAATCCACAAAGAAATGGTCTTGTCTTTAAACGTAAAGACTTAAACTTTTTATTTGTTCTAGAAGGAAGAACGTTTAAATCCTCATCTCACAAAATAAGAGTTAGGAATAATTAAACTCCATCCATCCATCCATCCATCCATCCATCCATCCATCCATCCTCTGAGCTCCTATTTCTCATCCCAGCTTTTTTTCACCAGCTGGGATCCATGGCAGCAGCTGCTGAACGGTTCCACTAGATGAAGGACCGACCACGTCACCATCAGTTGAAGGAAGCTATGACCACAGGAAGAGATGCAATCTCAAACCAGCTGAAATCCATCCCCTCATCTTGGTCTAAACTTTCTGCTCCTAAATTGAGAACCTGATGAGTTTCACCATCCAGCAAAAACAAGCCTGACTGTTGAAAATGTCAGAGGCTGTTTAAAAAGGCAAATCACTTTTATTTCCCTTAAACATCCTAAAGAAATATATTTTCTGCT